GGCCCATTTCTGAGGTAGTGTGCCTAGAAGCTTTCAAGGTCTTGGCCACTGCTAGAATCTTCGGAGGGCCGAGCCAAACTAAACTATGACAGGGAGTCAAATAAACTAGACAATTCGTCACCGGCTTTTTTCTTCTTTTTTCTGGGCTTCTTGTCTTTGTCTTTCTCACTGTCCTTGTTGGATGTTCCCCTGGCATGTGACTTGATCTCGTCTCGGCTACGCTTCTTAGACCGGGGGTCCACGGCATCGTCGCCTGCTTGTACTATAGTCTCTCTGGAAACTACCACACCCCGGTCTATGTGTTCAGTGCCAATAACGGATCGATGATTCGGCGATGGAGGATTTGGAGACTTTTGGGTGGGTAGCTTTGCTTTGGCCGCTCCTGCGTTCTGCGGCAACATGGCTGGCAAGAAACCATGGACCTGGCTAAGCACGGTCAGAAGAAATAGGCCCAACGGGGCATGCTGATTGTCCGCAGCAAGTTGACTGAACGCACTACATCTTGGCGGTCAGTTGGAGCGCCTGAGGGGGGTGATGGAGACCAAACTCACAGAAAAGCGCGTGGCAGGGCATGTGTATTCAGCCATGAGGCCCGGACGACGGCCTGGTCGGTGCGATTGCGACTGCTGTCCACGACTGGTTGGTCCAAACACTCGGCGAGGGCCCGGAGGGAGCGACGAAGTATTCCAAATGTCGCCCACCAGTGGGAAGTGCGGTGCTGGTTGTGGTGACGATGGTTGAATGCGTCTAGGAGCGGCAGGATGGTATTGAGCGTCGTTCGTGCGTGAGGATGGTTGGTAGCTTGAGGTCGTCCAGGGTATGCGGGTGCTGAGTAGGGTGGTTTGCGTAATTGCTGAGGCTCGGAGGGCTGGTTCTGATAGGTCATTATGTCAATCACGGCTCATCGCCAAGCAGAGAGTTTGGGCTGGCCGCTCATTGCGGATAAGCTGCCTTTGTCTCTCGTTGGCGGAGGTAGAGAGAGCTCTCCACGTAGATGGATGCTGATGATGATGGATTGGGTTCCACAACCAGATATCCTCTTGGTTCTTGTTGCACGTTTGGTCAATGGAGACGTGGGACACATAACTCCATGATCTAAGGAATGTTGGAAGAACAGAGAGACGACGTTGTTGAGCCCCAGATACTACTAGGAAGAGGTTGGATTATGTGTAACTTGGTTTTTTTTAACTGTGCAGTGTGGGTCACGCACTGATGTACATAATGGCTAGGTCGCAGCGCCACATTTTATTATCAGTCGAATACAATGAATTGACTACCCTACTTAAACGTGCATACCTACTTGGTTGTACTCCGTAGGTACTAAATTGAGTGGTACAAGTGGGTAGCTTGGTTCTCCAATCCAAGGTCCAGAGTCACACGATCGAATATCCAAGACAGCCAGTACGCGGGTGCTGATTTGCTTGGCCCTCCCCCACGTCCAGAAGTCAGCTGAATCTAGGTGACTTGAATCGCGCATCGTGAAAATGTCCGGCTTCCTCGTTAAAAGTGGACCGGTGACGCTCATTTGAGCGATTGTGCATGCAGCTGCATTACCTAGGTAGGTACCTAGGTAGGTATTACATGAGTAGGTACGGAGTACCCACGGCACTAACGAAGAATTACCTAGGTACTGGTAGCTAGTACTAGGTGACTACCTGGCAACTGGGTATCCACCTGCCCTCACCAACATGGAACCTTATCATCAATTGACACCACCAAACCACTTCCTTGATATCAACCTCTGGTCCCTAGTCCCCAGTCCCTGGACTCTTGACTCCAGACCCCGCAGTTGGCCTCGATGCTGAGCCATGACTACTCAGGAATATTCAAACTAGTTAGCTACAGCTCGGCCTTTGGGTTGCTGGACGATATTGGACCTCGCCAATTTAGCTCCGCTCCTCACCCTTCTCCTCTTCCTCCCCTCCTTCTTGCTCTCTCACCTTCTTCGTCCTTGTCGCCGTCGGCAGCATCCTCGTTCAATCCAAGCGCTGTTTAGTGTTCCGACTGTAGCGTCTCACACTTGCCGCCTCTCACAGAAGTCATGGTCCCAACGCTGAGAAATCCCACCTCGTGGGACGAATACGAGGGACGGGCTTCCCCCTCGGGAAGCCTATGGTCAAGCGTTATAGACGAAGAAGCTTCATTGCTCGACAGCGATGGAGACTGCACTCAGCCGCCAGTTGCCCACCACGACCGCAGGAGGTGCGTCGATCTGGATTCAACCTTCCCCCTCCTTAGAATCCCATGGTCTTGGCGCAAAACTCCATGACTAACCCCCAGCCTTGTCTTCACCTCACTAGGTCCTCTGTGACAACCCGGCTCGCGGCAATGGCAGACATAGGGGGAGTGAATAGCTTCAGATCCTTCGCCAGGAGTTGGCAGCGTGCCGCGTCTTTCGCGGAAGTTATCCCTCGCCGCCCAAGTTTTATTCTTCCCGCCGAAGCAGAAACCGTTCCGGTATCAAGTGGCGATGAAATCCAATACAGCCGCAGCCACGTTGACAGCCAACCTCCACCACAGGCGGGATTGCTTAGACAACACCTGGAAGCATCAATGCCCCAGGATTCCGCTTCTGTCCAGACTATTCCCGACTCTGGCATTGGCGTGGGACCTGCTGGAGGTATCCCACAAGAAGACTTCCGGGAACGAGAACGCAAAGCATTGGATACTGAGATGGCATCGGGTGCTCTCCATGATGGGTCGCCGTCGATACGATCCAACATCTTCGCCGTACCCCCACACCTGGCGACGCCGTCGCTCATTGGAAGCTATGGCTCACAATATGGCACCATGGGTGCCCGCAGATACAGATCGCGGTCCTCCGCAAGCTATGAGAGCGCTTGGGGAGTGCGCGGTGATCGTGGAGGCGACTATGGTGATGACGTTACCCTCGGCGAGGAACAGCCTATACTAGTCAAGGAGATAAAGCAAGGTGACAGAGTGGTTTTGACCGTCGATGGCCAGAGCACCCTCCCGCAATCGATCTTTAACTCCATCAATGCAATCATCGGGGTCGGCTTACTGAGCTTGCCGTTGGCATTCAAGATGAGTGGGTGGATACTTGGATTGTTCATTTTGACACTTACTGCTGCCGTTACCTCCCATACGGGAAAGTTGATTGGCAAATGCATGGAGTACGACCCCAGCATAATAACGTACTCAGATTTGGCCTATGTTGCCTTTGGAGCCCGGGCTCGAGTCATTGTATCAGCACTGTTTACTCTGGAGCTTCTTGCAGCCTGTGTGGCCCTAGTCATACTTTTTGCTGACTCTCTAGATCTTTTGATGCCCACTGTGGCCAACACAACCGTTTGGAAGTGCGTTTGTGCTGCTCTCATTCTGGTTTTAAATATGCTCCCTTTGCGATGGCTCAGTTACACCAGTGTTGTTGGCATTTTTTCTACATTTTGCAGTAAGACACCCCCTTTCCATCACACATTTACCGTTCTACTTCCCGTGTATGGCCAGGGTGTTAAAGGGGGGAGGGGGGGCATCCTGTCTTGTTCTAGAATGCTCTTCTAATTTAACGTTATAGTTGTTTGCATTGTAATAGTTGACGGCCTAGTCAAGCAACATACTCCGGGATCCTTATGGGAGCCAGCAAGAACTTATCTCCTACCCTCCAACTGGCTTTCCCTTCCTCTCGCGTACGGGCTCATGGCTAGCCCATGGGGTGCCCATTCCGTCTTCCCCTCTGTAAGACTTGCAGCCGCTCACTAATGCATGAATCTCCAAAGTCGCTTGACTTACACAACGTCGATAGATCTACCGAGATATGAGGCATCCTCATAAATGGAGCAAGGGCGTCAACGTCACTTTTTCGTTCTCTGTACGACCAACCTCCTTCCTCTAACTCGCTCCATCATTTATCATCTTTTCATCGAGTTCGCACTATGATTATTTTCTAACCTTGCTCATGCTTTAGTACGTCCTCGACACTTGCCTGGCCATTGTTGGTGTTCTCATGTTTGGCGATGGCATAAAGGAAGCAATCACATCAAATATCCTCAAAACACTTGGCTATCCCGAATTTTTAACCATACTGATGTGTATTTTCATAACAATAATACCCCTTACGAAAATTCCATTAAATGCGAGACCTCTAATCACAACGGCTGATGTGGTTTGTGGTCTTCACAGAGACCATCACAATCCTCACCATCATCGTTCGGGATCGGACGCTCAGTTATCGACACTCGCAAATATACTGAGAGCGGGCGTCCGGGTCCTAGTTGTTCTGATCCTCTTGGCTATTTCTGTCCTATTTCCAGCGTTTGACTCTGTCTGTGCTTTCCTCGGCGCTGCACTCTGCACGCTTATCTCAGTCATCTTGCCGATTTGCTTTTACTTAAAACTGTATTCAAAGGACATTGCCAAGTGGGAACGTATTGTATCTTGGATCTTACTGATTATCTTCTCCATTTTTGGATTAGTTGGCACAATTTGGACATTCTTGCCTAAACAGCTCGTGGGCACCTAGGGTAGACCAGAATAATACCATGCAATGTGTTATCTGAGATCTCAATCATTGAATGATCGATCATTGGTCTTCGCATGTTATGTTATATACGGACGTCGGACTGCATATTGATAGTATTACCTACCTCTACCAGTCTGCCTGGAACAATGCCCCACAGGCAATATTGTTGCTGGTCCTCCAGGCAACTACATGGTTTTTCAAAAGCTAGGTTTGATTGTCACAGGAAGTCCAAGTCAAATTTGAGTGGGTAACTTCTGGTATTATCATAACTAAATTTTCGAGCGATTCGATACTCAGAAAGCGAGACAAGGCTCACATTGCGTACTCCTAGTCGCAATTGCCCAGTTTCAATGTCCTGAAAGTCCGAAGAAGCATTCCATGAGCAATGGAACAGCTTCACCAGTCCTTACCGGTGCAGGGTGCAATTGACGTGGCATCAAGTGACTTTGAAAGAAGCCAATTTGACGACTAAAATGCAGGTGACCATGACTACGATTGACAGCTGAAGAGAACAAGTCCCCTACCAACCACCAACCCACTCAACGTCCCCGAGATCATTGCGCTTATGATCTCGGCGCCAGTTCCAATCTCTTCCCTTATTCCAAGGGCATTCTTTAGTTCGATCTCTGCCCCAATTCTTACTCATAGTGGTGTTGTTGTTATTGTTGTTATATGTTGAATGATCCCAAACGCCGGCTTCATAAGATTTATATCCAAAACCAAATTGACGTCGCGGCTTCAAGCCAGGCGACTTTTCCATTTCCATACTGCAGACTTGACCCCTCCGACGCTCACCCAATGCAGCCCATTTATCATAGTTGAATCGTTTAGATGGAGGAGAGTATCGTGGCGTGGTTGACACCAGTTTGACTGCAGGAGAGTCCTGGAAAAAGAACCCATCCGCAACCAGGTCATCATCCACATTCCCTTTAATGGTAACGTGCGAGGCGGGAGGAGAGTCCTGGTTGTCAACCTTCTTCACCTCGGTCCTACTCTCATGGCTCCATGTCCTAGAGTTCAACTCCTGAAGATCTTTCATTTGTTCTTCGTGTTCTTCCTCGTCCTCATCCCACATGTCACTCCAGCTTTTGGAAACAGCATCTTTTCGACGGCCAAACACGGTCGACATGGATAAGGCAAGGGGCTTCGCCATTGTAATTGGCATCGACCCAGCAGCTGGGGACACGTTGGGGCGAGAAGGCTTGTTGATGGCAAGTGATCTCATTGACACATCCAACTGAGAACCTAGCATAGACGACATAGACGGAGTCTGGATGCTAGCCGAGCACCAATCAATAGTCTCACCAGACTTGGAAAACAAGTCTTCAGTGTAACTCTCATTGTCAGGGATGGCACTCAGCTGTCGAGTCTGACGGTGCGGGCTATCGTGAAGAGCCCTCGCCCACGGGAAAGCACCAGTGTGGCTATCAACATGAGGACTCTGGATAGATGGAGTACGAAGAGGCTCACGGTTGGCAGACGCAACCGTTGTCTTCTCTGCTCCGCAGAAGTCGTCCAATGACTCATCCTCAGTAGTGAAGCTCACTACGCGGAGAAGAGCGTCACGGGCGCCTTCCAACGATCGTCTTCTGGGGTCCAAATTCATGCAATGGACAATGACCTCGTACGTGTCCTGTGACATAGCCGGAAATACGTCGAAAAGGCTCTGTTTGTCGCGAGAAAAGTCCAAGAAGAGTGGATCCGCTTCGGTTGGTGTAGTGAAGGGGTTGCGTGAGAACAGAATGTTAAGCAAACAAATGCCAATGGCCCATATGTCTGCCTCTGCAGGGGAGTATCCTGCGCCGGCAGAGTCGAATTGCTCCGGGGCCATGTAGCGATCGCTACCAACAGTCATCTCGTACGACCATTTATCTTTAGTTGCAAGACCGAAGTCACCGAGCTTCACTGCACCATCCTGGGTGAGAAAGATGTTTTCAGGTTTGATGTCGCGGTGATATACACCCTTTGAGTGAATGTACGTGACGGCATCAACAAGCTGCAACATGAACTGTCGAACATGCTCCGTCTGTAGAGGCCCATGCCCGTTCCTGATCGCTTCGTACAAGTCGCCCTGAGAACAAAACTCCATGACAAGGTAAACGTGGGCGTCCGTCTCAAAGGAGTGGAGCAAATTGACAATGTTTTCATGAGATCCGAGATTGCTGTGGAGAGCCAGTTCTTCAGACTTGTCATCAACAGCAAACTCTAGACCAGCTTCGCATGGGGCAGCCTTTTTGGTCAAGCATTTGATGGCCACAGTTTGGCTCGTCATCGAATCCCGGGCCATGAAGACCATGCCAAATGACCCGTGATTGAGCGGTGAAATTGTCTCATAGCGACCATCGAGAAGAACACCACCGACGAACCTGTCCCTAAGACACTCCATGCTGTTGAGGCGAACAGAAATTTTTTGAAACTTTGATGAAATAAAAGAAAACACCCTCGCAAGAAAAAGCAACGCGTCGTGACACAAGCTGTGTAAATTGTACAAGTGAGCTTTGTTGATATGTTCGGTTTGTACTAGCTCCAGTGAGGCAGATACAATCTTCGGCAGACGTCAAGAAAGAAGCCAGTTTTCTTTTAGGTTGCGTGTACACAATGAAGGGCCCAGTCGAAGGTGAAGAACTTGTTCGAGAAACAGTGTATGGTGAGTGGGGGAAAGACGAATGTAGAAAATGTACAAGTAGTGCAAACAGTTGCAAGCAATAATGGATTTGAGTGTTCGCGTAGTTGAATCAACGGCTCATTTGCAAGTATGTAAGATGTGAGGACAAAAGAAATGCGTATTATCAAATCGTTGTAGCGAAGAAGCGGTAGGAGCCGAACGGCTCGAACTTGGACAAGAAACAAGCGAGAAAATCGTTATAATGACATGGAGGATCGTGTTGTTGATGAAACCAGAAATAAAGAATGCGGCCTGGCAGTGAGGCAGAACGACTTTGACGGCTAATGTAGTACTGTCAAGGTATTCACGAGGCGAAATCGTGTTATAGCGACCGGGAAATATCGCTGACAAGCTTTTCGGGCCAAAAGAGTTGCGAATTCGTGGACGAGGCGAATAGCTCGCTCAAGGTGATTGCGAGGTCACTACAATATTATTGCGGTCGTGATCCCTATGAGGGCGGGGGCGACTCTGTTTCCAAGGTCTTGCACTATACGTGTCGTACGGGGAGAGACCCCAACGACCCAATGCTTGCAGGATGCAGTGCTTCAATGCCCGTTGAGGGCGAGGGGTGGCTGCGATCAGATAGGCAAAGACGATGGCAAAGAATTGGTCGGCAAGGTGGACACCGGGCGGAAGGCAAAGTGATAATACAGGCTTCGCAAGTTGCCGAGATCGTCAAGGTCCTTGATCAAACTCGGTGTAACAAGTGTCGGGTGCTACAGCGAGATGATAAGACGACGTTGGCAGGTACAGAAGCCCTTCTTTCTCTCGAAAGTGAATGACGACAAGGGACGTCGGTCAAGTTGAGGACTGAAGGCGGTCGAAGGAGTAGTGTGCACAGGCAACGTGAGGCCGTTGATGAGTCACGGGAGACCTTGTTGACGTTGGATGCCTGGCAGGTAGAGGAGGCGCACTGTCCAGAGAAAGAAGGCCTTGCCTTGAAGTAGGTCGGCAGGAAGTGAGGTCGTGACGAAGGTAAGGAGAGCGGAGAAGAAAGGAGATGAGACGGTTAGGAGATGGTAATAAAGGGCGGAAGGTGACGAAAGGCAAGAAGGAGGTGGAAGGGAATGGCGGTGATGGGAAGAGGGTGGGATGAGATGGAACGAAGTGGAAGCTGGAAGGGGAGGGGCGTGTGTCACTGGGCGGGAGGGAATCGGGGGGATGAAGACGGGGGAGAGCGTGAGCGTGAGCGCTGTGGACATGAATGGAGGGAATGGCGGTACGACGGGCAACGGACCAAGCAATCCAGTCCAATCCACCTCATCTGGTGGCTGTCGAGAACAGGCCACGACATGTGTGGATCCGGGGTGGGCGCCATCCCAGGACGATTGGTCATTCATGGCGGTGTCGCACCTCGTAACGCCGTTGTCAACACACCGGCTTCGCACTGGGCTGCTCTGGTAGCCAAATAGATGGAGGGGATAGGACCTGGTCCGTTGGTGGCAACGGGGGATCCGTCATTCATGGTTCGTTGGGGAACGGCTGAGCATCGGATCGAACACATGTTGTTGGAAGCTCACACTGTGTTACCTTGATACTATCGAGGGAGGACTTCACTGCCTAGCCGCGAGCAAGATTCAGACCATGCAAGGATGCCAATATGCAAGTTCGAGTTCGAATCGTTCTGCATTAAGCTGGCATTTTGGAGACCAGGAGGGTGATGGCGAGATAATCCATTACCCAACTGGAACATGGTACGGGCGGCACCGTTATCACCCTTGTGTACTCCGTAACTTCTAGTTCTTTGAATCAAGTTCCTCTGAAAACGAACTCCGTGGTCTGCCTGTAAGGAGTACGGAGCACCTGAAGGATAGTACAGTTCCGTCCGTTCACTGTTTTTGCACGGTGCAGCAATGCTGTCTTGGAAGCGCCAATAAACAAATGATGCCACGTAGGCTATTGGTTGATTGGTTAGCTATTGACATGGGCCCCGCATCCTACTCAAGTACAAAATGACAGCCCAGCCAGCGTGACCACAACACAGTGTACTGTGAGCCCCATTCTCTCACAGGGCACTAGCATGTACGTATGTACTGGTGTTAAGGCCCAACCGGGGCAGATCGCAGCCCCCTGAGCCAATTATGATGACCCTTCATCAAGCCTGCGCAAGCTTGTCTGTCCTCCGTGCAGGCCTCGGCACCTGGGATGCCCCCTGGCCAATGCATGCAGACATGATGGTGTGCCTACACCGCCGACCGCACAGGACAAGCCTCAAAGGTACTCTTCTGCGTCTTGTTATGAGGTTCATTACTCAATTTCAAAGTCACCATAACATACGTTCCCCGTGTCTCCTGCAGATTTTGTAGTATCATGCCTAATGCGGTCACGAAACACGCCCACCGCACGGGAACAAACAAGCTCAAGCGTCAAAGCCTGCTCGACTGACCAGTAGTACTAGTAGTACTGGTCACGACGTGTACGTACTCCGGCCCTGGGATCAACCCGAAAAATTGTCAACAACGCGTGGCACCAGTAATGGTTATCTGTTGCTCGGTGCCAGAGGAAGTGTTGTGTCTGTGGTCCAAGTAAGCAACTTGGTGCTCCCGCCAAAGGACGCAATAATTATTTCTTGAGGAGTCGCTTTACCTGGTGCCTGCGCCTCCCCTGGATACCATTATATGTATATATCTACCTAGGTAGGTATATATCCAAGTTGCTTCAATACCACTGTATAAGCTAAGTTGTCTCGACGCAACTGAAGGGGCACACTCTCAGTCAGAGCTTTTGGCTACAACAGATAGAGGCAAGTTGAATTTCATGATGAATGCTGTCGACTGGTGGATAGAGGAACCGTCAAGTGTCGCTGGAACAAGGGGGTAAGATTTTTGAAATGAAGAGGACATCCACTACTCACTCCCTGAAGAGTTTTTATATCCCGTGAACCACAAAACTAAGTACCTAGGTGGCTACTGAGCGTGTTGGGTTCGTCAATTGATAGTATGCACAACTATAGCTTCATAACCTGTCCATTGCAGGCGGGAGGTTGGGCCTTGACCGCCTCTCTGTTCTCAACTCCTGTCTAGTGACCTAAGCCTAAAGTACTTAAATTGATACTAAGTATTCAGAAACCAATTACTTGTCGACAGTGTAATCCACATCCGCCCGCCCAGCCTGAGTACCTGGCACCTGGGTACTGCTCAACGCTCGCTTTAGGAAGCTAGCACCTGAGGGTCCACCACTCCCGTTTTCATCCCGTCGTTCTGGGACGACAGACTGCGAACATTCGACGGCGAACACGGAAACAAACCAGGTTGATTGAGATACGGCGTGCACAAGATTGCAGGAAAGGCCAGCATCCAAAGATCCATTTTCGGTCCTTCTGTTTGCATCGGCCCCCTCCCTCCTGCAACCGCAAATCGAGGACACTCCAATCAGTCTTGGTGGTGGGCTGCTCAACAGTCAGTATCTCGTCACAGGCACATCTATTTGGGACTTCCGGTACATATCCATGGTACATTTTTGAAAGCTTTATTTGGATTGGCCAAATAGCCATGCTCGCTAGAAGCTTTGCCGGTTTCAGCGTTATCGTGCTGGACATAGGTAAGCAAGTCGTTCCCTGACGTCCCTGGCCACATGTGCCGGTGCCTTCTGCAATGTACACAACATACTAATACTATCCACATCAGAGGGAACTGTCTGTCCCATAACATTTGTTCATGAAGTCCTGGTAAGAGTCTGCTTCGTTTCCACTTCACCCCTATGCCTTCCCAACGCAGATCAGACACTATTGAGTAGAGTCCAGGCGCTGAAACCTGTTCAAACTCCAGTTTCCCTATGCACTAAGAGCACTTCCACAATATCTTGACCTTCACTGGCATGATAGTGCGTTCGCTCAATACCGAGATGCATTTCCTGAAGAATACCGCAATGACCGTTTGGCCTTGGAAAGTCATGTCCGGGACCTAGTGGCGGCAGATATCAAAGCTCCCTATTTAAAAGCTCTTCAGGGCCTCTTGTGGCAGGCAGGGTATGATTCAGGAGAACTCAAGGCCCCTGTCTTCCCTGACGTGGCTCTCTTTATATCTGAGGCTCATAGTGCTGGTAAGAAGGTAATGATCTACTCCTCAGGATCCGTTCCAGCGCAGAAGCTGTTCTTTGCACACACGACTGCTCAGCCGTCAGACCTGTCTCAGTTCATAACCGGCTGGTTTGACACCGTCAATGCTGGTCCCAAGACAGAGGCGAGTAGTTATGCAGCGATTCTATCTACTCATCCGGATATCGAGCCTTCACGTTGGCTGTTCCTGAGCGATAATCTCAATGAAGTCAATGCTGCACTCGCGGCAGGCATGTGTAGTCTTCCGGTATCTCGTCCAGGAAATGCACCACTGCCTCCCGAAAATAGTCTGTCAGGCATGGCGATACCCGATTTTTCGCCGGAGTCAGAAACTAAGATTCAAAAATCTTTAGCCACCTTGACAACCGGCAGAGATTGACGTCTGGGGAAACGGGCCTCGTACCGTGGGCAAGGGCGAACAAAATAATCCCGGAGACCAGAGAGATGGGAAGAGAAGACGTAAAACTCAGCACTAGAAATTGAAAGAGGGTAAAATGCAATGAGCCAACCCAGATGCCCTTGTAAGCCATGAATTTGCCAATGCAAGAGCCTCTGACTTCCAATGCCATATCATCGAAATAGCGGTCTGTAACTCCATATTTTGATGATTCTTTATAAATTGAACACTATTTACACTATATGCAATGTTGATATTTACAGTGGAACAAAGGTGCTCGAATTCGGCTCGTCCACCCCCCCGCCCTTAAAAAAGACATGGATGGAGAGAAGAATATCCATACCCATACAAAAGGAACATTACTTAATACAGGAACCGAGAGGTAGGCTCTTCAAAGTGATGGCAAAATTGTTCCTTTTTCGTCCAGGATTCACTTCTTGCTTGGTGAAGCGAATTTCGCCGGCCGTCATATGGTCCCTGGCCCATAAGCTATAGACCAGCTTTTGAGTCTTTTTGGAACGTCTCATGGTGTACCCCAAAGCCCCCATCAGCGAACCAAGCTTTTCATCTGAGAAATAGCGAGAGTTATCAACACAGCTCCGTGGAAGGACAAGAAATAATGATGGAAAGGGGTCGTCGTTCGGTTTCTGCACTGTATCAGCGGGCTGTCGTAAGAACAACAACGTTCGAAAAAGCATTTGTCCACGCCCTTCCGCTTCGGGGACAAAATTAAGCACTAAACTCAGCGATATTATGTCGAATTCTTCAGCCGACTCCTCTGGCAGTGGTCGCGTCATAAAGTCCTGCTTGAGGATTCCCGGCTCCTGGCTATTCAGATCTATATGAACCATGTCGAAGAGACGGCTATTGGAACAAGCATTCCGGGTACTCAGTGATCCGACTTCCAGCATCCGCGGCCGTCTGTTCGCCTTTTTAATCAGATCAACTGGAAGCATTTCAAGTAAAATTTTCGATGTGTCACCGCCGCGTTCATTGCTCTGGCCTTGCAAACTGGCTTGTTGGTATCGATTCAGGCCTCCCATGTCGGATATTTCCGCAGATATAGCAGCTTCCGCTTCCTTGTCTCCTTGCGCTATCGCCTGGCGCTGCCGTTTCTCCAGCTGATGATGTTTGTTGATGAAATTTCGACTTGCCTTGCGCGACATAGATCGCCGTGCTAGCTGTGCAGTGGGTGGCCTGCCGGCATGGAGACTTCTGCGTGGTCTTCTCATTTTATAGTTGCAATGCGAACATGTGCTGGAGGAAGTGTGAAGTAGTTCTTAAGTCAGAAATTTTCCGTTTAATAACGGTCTTATTTCTTGACTCTCCGAGGTGCTGTAGCGCATATCACAACTTTCTTATCATGAAAATTTATACCGAGCTAGCTTCGCCTGGCTATAGAAAAGATGGCCCACTGATGTCACCAAATCTCTACCGTCTCAACCCTTTGTTTAACGATGTACTAGTAGTACGTACAGGACTGCTAACTCCGATGTTTGGAAACTGTCACGTGCAACCCATCTCGTGACCACAAAAATTATGGGGCCCCCATCCGAACCCTAATTGATTGAATATTCGCACACGGCCTGGAAACTTGGTACCCAAGCCCTGGCTTTTTTTTAAACAAGCTTCCATCACACACTCGACAATTCACCACCTCTTGTCGACTTCGAATCAACGCAATGGCTTCGGAAGGAAAGAAAGGTATGGGATGAAGTTGGGATCTGGCGCATCAATGCAACGACCGTCGATGAAAATTTTCTTTTGGATTCGTTCTCGGCATCATGCAGCAGCAGATTTTGCGAGTTCTTGAAATAAGAGCGATTGCTGATGCACTTTCTTTATAGCCGCCCCAAAGGGCTCCAAGCGTGCGAACGCCGCCGCCAAGGCCGCTTTGGTTGGCGTAGGTTTATTACCACCTGAGCAACAAATAAGGAACACAAGTTTGACTAACATTCTCTCGCTACAGACTCACGCTCATAAGCAGCGCAAGGTCCGAACCAGCACGTCGTTCCACCAGCCCAAGACTCTGGTTCTTTCACGAGCCCCAAAGTACCCTCGCAAGTCGATCCCTCACCAGCCGCGACTTGATGAGCACAAGATTGTCATTCACCCTCTCAACACGGAAAGCGCTATGAAGAAGATGGAGGAGAATAATACACTCGTCTTCATCGTTGATGTTAAGGCCAACAAGGCTCAGATCAAGCTTGCCCTCAAGAAGCTGTATGATATTGACACCGTCAAGATCAATACCCTGATCCGGTATGTTTGATCCCCAGCCCCCTCACCTTCGCCTGGGGAGACTTTCGGTTGAACGGCCAACTGACCCAATTTGTGCAAACTAGACCGGATGGCTCCAAGAAGGCCTATGTCCGCCTGACTCCCGATGTTGATGCCTTGGATATTGCCGCCAACAAACTTTCCCTGGTGTAAGGATTGGTCAGAGCAGCTTGTTTTTGGTTTTCATGAAATGGTCTGGTCAGGGATGCAGGGCAGGGACATAAGAAACGGCGCATTTAAAACTTGTCATCTACAATAAGGAAAAATGAATGATGAATTCCGGACCTGACCGTTCATGGCCACGTAAAATCACTTATAAGAGCTCTAGGTGCTGGACAGGCCAGCAAAGCCTCCTGGCAGTGAATTCATACTGTAAAACAGAAGTATAATTGAATGTAGTTGAATTGACCCCTATATCTTACAATGTCCTCCTTTTCATCTATTTTCATGTGCCATCAATCAACCACCCCCAGTACTCATCGTCCAGAGTCCCCGGACTCAAGATGATCGCATGCTATTTAGGTGTTTCATCGTAAGGAAATTCATATCGAGAAATCGATCGACACAATTCGCCAGGCATCCTTCCTCAGTGCGATCCAGTTTAGGGTTCTTCATGTTTCCAGTGACGCATTTCTTCCAACAAATCTGCGTCAAGCTATGGGTCTCTGTACGCCCGCCGGCAAGTTAGTACGCTGAGAATACAAGATATCAATGTTCAGTGTGCTAGAAAATGTGCAGAGAGCGAGTATGTGCATATAAATTGCGGGGTCAAGAGCTTGATGTGAATGATGGGTAGCCGTTAGGAGCGATGGAGATGAATCACAGGGCGACTGAACATCGGCTTTCGAAGGGCACTTACGTGACTGGATCTGCGAACGCTGTTGCTCGTTGGCTAGGAATTGGCGCAATTCAGCCTTGTCCTTGTCATTGAGTTTTTCAAGGTCGAGATTCTCGACACCTGCCTGGGCGGCGTTCATGGCGATAATGTAGGGGGGAGTGTGAAGGTGAAGCTCGAGCTGTGTAGTTAGATGCGATTGAGCTGCGCTGAAATTTTAGTAACGCCGACTGGGCGCGCGGGTGGCATGGTGTTCGGGTTGACCAATCGCAGGAAGAACGATGGTCCACTACCTAGGTACCTAAATAGGTACTAGGTAGGTACTTAGAGGTATAGGTACAGTAAACCAGCGTTATAACGATCCCATATCTTAATAATAGTCACGCTATTACGATAATTCACGGTTATTTAAGGTTTTTCCCTAGTAAATTATTAATAATTATAGTTCACATAATATTATAGGTATTAGGCTCAGTTGCCATACAAATCATAAGCTTTTATCGTTATTTAGGCGGTATTAGGCCTTATAAGGACCTACTAAAAGCGTAAATTTTACACCTTTTAGGGGGTTACAGCGTAACAAATCCTTGTAAATGTATCTTTATCTAGTAAGTCCTAGTAAAGGTATATACCCTATAATAGTTACACCTTTGCGATAGTTACCAAATATCGCTAATTTTGGCCTCACGAAGGTTATCGGAATAACGCTGGTTTACTGTACTTAAGTACTGAGCCCAACATGATTGCGGTGGCACTCCCAGGGGTTGCCTCCATGTCACCTTGATATTTTTACTCGTTCAGGTAATCGCCACCGATACTTGGAATGGGTATTTGGCCAAAACACCTCCTAAAACCACATCGATTCAATACTAGACGTCGGCACATAAGTACTCATGCAGGAGACAGCTTGGTGAATGAGAGCATCCTGGTCGTGGGGAAATTATGCAATGGAGAGGTAGGTAGACTTCTACGTAATGAAGTTGAGAACGCGGCTATACAGAGCACGCTCAGAGTAGTTGGTGTCAACTTTTAAAGATATTTATGCTACCTGAAAAGAACTAAACATCAAATATTGCGGAGATACTCTGCACCCATATTATAGGCTTGCTCATTCAAACATTATGCAAAAAGTCCTGTTTAAAACAACAAGGTACGTGGGGGACAAAAACTGACCGAAACAACTACCCAGTGAGCCTGGCCCCGCGACCAGCAGGAGGCTATGTAATTGAAACAAAGATGTATTCCTGGGCATTCTTGCCAAGATGGAGTAGGTGAACGACAGCTGAATCATGTCAACCGCATCAAGATCAAATGTACCTCTTCCAACGAGCCAATCCCAGAATCAGTGAGCAAACAAATACCATGATCCCAATAATAGTGAAGAACGCGGCGAGACTGCCAGTGCCTTGAAACGGCACAGTGACATTCATTCCAAACACACCGCTAATGAGGTTAAGTGGCACAAGAACGGATGCAAGAAACGTGATCTTGCTCAAGACCCTGTTCGTGTCTGTTCCTTGTGAAATATTGTTGATCGAAAGTGTCGCCAGGTAGTTGCTGTGTGCTCGTGACAGCATCTTCTCAAAGTGGCCGAGATTTGTTGCCATTGTAACAACATGATCTTGAATATCGCCCAAATACATACCAATGTCCATGTGCGGTGTGACTTGGTAATTTTCGTTGCATCGCTTGGTGAACCCTCGCAAGACATCAGCCTTACCTCCAAGAAGTCGCATTAAAGCCATGCAGTTTTTACGAACACGGCCTATGGAACGAAGAAACGAGCTCGAGTCATCTTGGCGCATTACAAACACTTCATCCTCAATCGCATCTGCTTCTAGTTCGATAGTGCGGATGGCAGGGGCAAAAGAATCAACGATATTATCGCTTTTTGGCATATTGGTGAGTCTAACTGCCATCGCCATTGGAATGTTTGGTATGGGACACTTACATCAATGCATAGCATATCCAATCGCTGCTAAGAGAGACGTACTCCTTTAAGGCTGTAATTCTTTTCCGAACTTGAGATGCATGTGAGTTCGGGGCAAAGCTGAAACTGAGTGTGCCTTCACGGAATACTAAAACATATATGTTGAAGGGCTCATACTCAATACCATCGGGCTCTTCAACGACATTGAAGGATCGGAAGCACGCGAAATAGTACGATGGAAAGAGCTCGATCTTCTCCCGGGCTTCTTGTGTAATAATATCTTCAATGGTAAGAGGATGCACCCCGAACGCCTTGCAAATTCCTTGGACTTCTTCTTTGGATGCTGTATTCACATTCAGCCACCAAACACCATCTGCTTCATCTTCGGGTAGCTCAAAGAGACCCCGAATATCCTCTCCAGGGAGAACGAGATCGCCCATTTCGGCGGCGTGGATTGTTGACTCCCATGCCGAGGAAAAAAAACTGAAACGATTACCATCAGTTGCGTGGGGAGTTGGCTTCGAATCGACTTCGGTGGGGCGTTTCTCTTGTATAGAGTCATCCGATGGGATTTCCAGTATGTCACCATCCACCGTAGGCACTTGGTTTCGGTGGCTAGTTGTAGACTCAATTCGCAAGTCTTCGAATTCAGAAGGCATCGGTCGACTATGTGCTTGAGCAGCTCGTTCCGCATTGATGAAATTTTCCAAATAGTCGAAGTCGATTCGAAGTTCGTGATTTCTATGCCCGTCCTGTAATGGGAAGCATACATCCTCCTCGGCAGCTTTATCTGTCAACAGACTTCTCGCATCCTTCTCTATAGTTCGAGCCCTGCTTCGATGGCTGCGTCGACTGGATATTGACATAGACCGTCCGTGCCCTTCTTCATGGTCGCACTTTGGCTCCGAGAATGACATGTCTCTTTCACGTCGTCGGGCTTGAGCGAACGCTTTAACCGAATTGGGAGGAGAGATTGATCTGCCTTCATTTATTGTCTCAACTGTAAGCCGACGACTGTGTCGAGCCATCTGCGGTACCTCAAGAGCATCTTCATCTATGATGGCTTCCTCAAAATCTCGAATCCTGATGTCTGGTGTAAAGGGTCCCGCGTCAGTGTCAATTTGACGGGAGCCATATAGAGAGTCAAACGTCCCTCGGCGTGGTCTCTCTAGCCGTTGCGATACATTGGATTCATAACGATGGTCATCAAGCTCAGGCACAGGGGTATCATACCCGGTGTCGGGAACCATTCCGTCTTGGTCGGACATATTGTACAGTGGTGGCGGTGCTGTCCTCTAAAAACCACCCTCTTGAAGTCAAAGCGGGATTGTACAGAACTTGCCAGTCGAAATTTCCAAAGAGCTTAGCCAAAAGCGATGAACAAAACCACGGCTTAATGATGAGTGATCATAATTAACTGAAGAGGCGGACGGCCGTTTCCCAGACAAATCGCAAAGTTGACAGTCCTCAACCCGGCGCGGCGGATGCGCGCCGAGAGGTGGTATAGTAGCAAAACCGTGGCTATTTGTAAGCCAGGTCCTCGGAAGGAGGTGGTAGTGAACGAGTATTGGAATGCGAATAACCGAACGAAAATAGAAAGCCTAAAGCCCAATTATGGAGGCTTCTTGTTCACTCCGCTATAGACCCAGCAGCCAGGTCCAAGAAGCGAAGAGGGTGGTGTGATTGTAAGGGCGAGTTGAGCCAACTTGAAGGTTTGTAAAGAGTTATTGAGAAGGGTGTTATGGGTTTCCCGCAATAAAAACTTGCAGCCCTCCCCGCGAGATATGTGCCGCAGAGCAGGCTCTAGTACTCCGCACCTGGAGAGGAGAATCCGAAGATTGGACAATTTATGCGAAGAATTGTAGCTGCGATGAGAGCAATGCGGTTTGATGTGTAGGCTTTCAGTACCGGCAGAGAAACGATGAGTTGGACAAAAATGCGACCATAATGTGCCTGCGAGAAGCAGCAAAAAAATCACAGTCGGTCGAAGTGAGGACCATGCAGGAGATTTGTTTTTTCTCACCTAGTCGCTGGGTGGCCATAATATTGCGGCGCCACTTGACCTTTTCTTCGGAGCGCGGAGCGCCCTCCTGGCCCGCGGAACCACTTCCGGCTAGGGTGAACTGGGCTCCATGGCCGGCAGGCCCGCACCTGACAGCCAGCCTGCAAAGCTCAACGTGGTCATTCCAAGCATCATCTCCGTCATCAGCCCTCAAGTCAGCGCCTAGGTCCTGCGTTTCAACCTAGTCTGTAATTTCGTGAGCCTCCTTCTCGACATACCCAGCATTGTTTTTTTGTGAGAGCAATCTCATTTCTCGATTCATTACTTCGTTGACGGCACCACCACTTTCGTAGCTATCGGCAGGCTACTTTTGACAACACACCTAATGGCGGAGGAAATTCTAGACAAGCTCCGGGACCTTGTAGAAGGACAGATTGTATGATGCCGCCCTCGAGTCTTCCCCACGCGACAAACTCCAAAATATGCACGCACACCTTTGCAAATTGATGTTCTGACAAACCCGCCACACAGGACTTCGACGGTCAGAGACGTGCCGAAGGATTTGCCACCTTGCTTTTGGCTCTATCTGCGGTATGATACAGCCCCCTCCTGTCGATCCGAGCCTGCTAACGCATCTCGCCATCAGTTGTTGGCATTCAATATTGGGTATTTGTATCAGGACATTCAGAAGGCCATGTACATTGGGTTGGGAGGGACTGCATTGACATTTATTCTTGTTGTGCCGCCCTGGCCATTCTACAAGACAAATCCCGTCAAGTGGTTGACTGCTGGTACTGGATGGCACTAGGACAGGTTAGGTTTACGATGCCGTAAATTTTATGAATACAGCAGACCAAGGAGAGATTCCAGAACTCTATCATCAGTTGATAGATTTATAATTTGTCACGCGTAGCCCAATATCTCCTTCTTTGACCGTGTTACTGGAACCTATTCCTCCGTTGATTTTGTTGTCGTTCAATCTCATCGGCCATATTTCTGGAACTCCCAGTCACGGTTATCAAGAGGGCAGACTGATCTAGCCTTGAGCCATCGAGAGATGCAGTGGAAATGGAATGCATGCTGCTGCCGCGTTAGAAGTTGCGTACTCAATGCGATCTATGGGCTCTTACATTGCAAATTCCCCATGCCACTGTGCATTCTTCGCTGGTGGCGGAGGCTTGATTGGCTTGACATTCTATGCCTGTTGAGAACGTCAGAAACAAGTATTCTGGATGGTGAGACAAAGAGAATCATGTGTAACATACACAAGTCCATGATGTGATTACGGCAGATGGCGCAGTTATCAACAACAATGTCCCAGGCCCAGAGTGCGACGGCGTTCCACTGTTGCGTATTTAGCAATCAGGTTGAAAGCTTGCTATTCGATCGTGTATGCAAATTAGGCGAATCGGAGCTTACTTTTTTTACTTCAAACTTTTTCTTGGCTTCGGAGCCTTTCCCATTCGCAGCATCTGCTCTTTTGGATGCGGAAGGTGCGTCGCTCATTTCGACATCAGCCATGTTGTGTGGCTTTGATGCTCGTTTTTGGCTTTGGAAGAAACGAACTTGCGAGATAATGAGTCGAGACTACTCCACGAACCCAAATTGATGATTAAGATAACAAAATATGATATCTACAGTAAAGTTAGCACGATATAGTTAAGACTATCTGAATTTTGAGCCACGGTGCGAGTATGAAGGATGGGGCGACCATCAGGAGCCTAATTTACCTTGATAGCTCATGAGCCACAGGCTCGCAAACAGGCGGAATCTCGACTTTCCGTAGCAAGTTTGTATCGACGACTGAAATTTTGCTGGGCTTCTGAGAAAGCTTCGGCTGAGGAGCAGATGCGGCTAATCAGCAGTGGTGAAGGAAGCAGAGTCCGATACTCTTTTCCAATACTGCCTGGGATTGCTGTGATGTGAGACTCGGGTCGTGAATCTCTCTAGTTGTTCCTTAACCCTGGGTGATGCGGTGGGGCTTTTTCCTGCAGCACAGCACAGTAATCGCGCAATAATAGCCCTGGCAGACAAATTTACAGCCCAGATGTAGGCTTGAGTCCATGGAAAACAACCTGTGATGAGTCTGACTTTGTCCCAGGCATGAGCCATGTAGAGGAAGGCGGTGCCTGTGGATATATGCAACTACCGGGTCCATCCTGCCGCCGAGCTCTAGTTGACCCGTTGTCGTCCCGAGTGAGCAACCCACTTCATTGGGTCTGGTTGTCTTGGCCAGATGAAGCGCACCTGCCAGAGAGATCTTTCTTCCAGTGCTCTCCAGTACTTTCTTCCCAGCCATCACGTACAGTACGCAGTGCTCACTCACCAGCGTTTCCCTCTCGCTCTTTCATGGTGCCGTTGATGACACGGCGTAAAGAGCTTGTTACCAGCGAGTGACAGATCGGCAGCTCCTCATCTTAAAATAAACCGATATTTAGCGTCCTACCAGTCCTGTCAAAATACCATAGTCACAATGAGCGAAACACCTTCACAACAAAGGACAACTCCGGCTCGTCGGAAATATGGCCGGCAGACCACAAAGTCGGCAGCCCAGAAGGCATATGCATCTGAGAACGACATCGCTGCGCTCGAAACACCACGGACTCATGCGCCGAAAACACCAAACAAGATGAACGAAACTTCTACTCCGGCCAGCGACTTTTACTCATCGCAGCACCCGAATAGCAAAAGCAGAGCGAGGAATAGGACAAAATCCAAAAATGTTCCGCCGTCCCCCGACTCTACACAATACGGTCGCCAAACGCCCCCGCAGCGATCCGCCTCGATCAAACCCGGCATCAATACCGCATTTGCAGGTGCTACTTTCCATGCATCTCCCGCTCCATCCGCTCTACCCATTCCAAGCTTTCTCTCCAGGCCTTCAGGCGAATCTCCCGTTGCACTGGGCAAGGCTGCGCTCCAAGAGCCATCGCCACCCGCAACTGACGGAGACGTCCCCACGCCATTTCGACCATCATCAGTACCCAAGATGAATGAGTCACCGCTAGACTTTATGTTTCGCGCACATAGAGAAGAAAAAGAGCGAAATTTCCGAGAGAATATTCCAAATGACTCTTCTAGACCTTCGGCGTCGCCGCAACCTTTGCAATGGAGTGGCATGGGAGGGCCCTCGAAACCGTCAAGTCTGCCGCATCAACGGCGAACTTATTTCCGGCAAGAAGCAGGTGGTATAAATTCTTCGGAATTGGATGGTACACCTGGCAGACCGCTTGGTCCGGCATTCTCAACCCCATACCAAGAACGAATTAAAGCTGCTCGTTCTGCCTCAAACAGTAACACTTCTTTCACCAAAGGCCAGACCGCTGGTTACTTAAACGAGCCAGAAACAGTAGAAGATTCGACGGAAGCATTAAAGAAATATCTTTTTGGCAACAAGAGTTCTATCACGGCTGGTCCATTACGAACTACCACTGAAACCAAACCTGCACTCCACACCGTGCCTAGCGAGGGAACTTCGACGTCAACTGGGACTGAGTCAGGGACGAAGACTACTCGCGCTAGTAATATTACGGAGATAGAAAATGATCTTCGGCGGATTTTGAAGTTAGACATGACCTCGGGGCCAGATTCTGAGGGCCGTACTCTGTTTTCGAGATGATGCATCATTATCGCCAGGCTTATATTGAGTTTTACATGATTCACGGTCGATTTGTGGTATTCCGAGCTTTGGGTAGATTTCGGAATCTGGAGTTTCGTGGAGGAATCTGTTTTTGACGACTTTTTCTTACACGCTGGAGCCTTTGCATATTGCTATTGGTCTGCAGATGTTTCGTATCTGGCTCACAAAGCAACCTTGAATCCGTCTATGTTGTCATATACGGAGCTTTGCGTAGAAGACGGTATTACAACCTTGAGAAGCATTTTGGACTTTGGACTTTCTTTGTGAAAAGATATTCATGGTCAACATTTACGATCATTTTCTCATATTCCCCCAGTTGGATTCGTGATGCACTGTAGGCTTTGGTAGGATGTCACCGGCTAGTATGAGAGAGCACGAAGACTCTTTGGGAGGGCCATGCGAGTACATGCATGTCCACGATTAACTCTTGAACTTGCACATTTAGGTGGCATTTAAATGACTATAAATTAACCTATGTCTAACGATTAGCTGCATTACACCTGTGTGTGTACATATTCGGCAACAGTTCTAATGAATTAATTCATTCAATTCAACAGGCAGCAACGGTTCTTGTATTTTCAGCTCTTTGCAATGGCGAGGAATATAACGCGAATGCTCACGTCGCATCATATCACTGCGGCATCAGAAGGCTTTTTGTGACGACTAGCTAGATAGGTCCCTTGCCGTATTCCTTGCTTGTGCTTGCTTTATTTACTTCGTCGACTCCGATTTCGCTGTTCTTTGGAAAAAAACATTCCATGTGATAGAAGAAGGTATTTTGCAAAGAACTTGGTCGCAAATTCATCGAACTCGGTATATTCCGCACCAAGGCGATACGCTGCTGCAATTCCACTTACGCATGCAAGTTCATGCATGTTCTGTTGAATCGTAATAAATTAGCTTCTTCGTCACATGTGAGACCCCGGCTTGCAAAAGAGTTGGATGAAGTCATCAGTCCTTGGGGAAGGCAGGCACTGAGGAAGCCCATAGGTTACTCACAACAAGGGTCCACGATCCCGCAAAAAGCGTTCTGTTTCTTCCATTGAGAAACATCATTCCTGGAACGACGCGAAGGTAGTGTTGCCACTTGTGACCAAGCTGATGCCAATGGTTGCGCTTGATAATTTCCGGCTCGTTAATTTCGTGTATTGTCCAAAGACTTTCTTGATTCTGGTCAAGAAAGATGGTTTGGTACACAGGCTTCAAATGGTCGCCTCCTCTGGCTTGCCCTTTCACTAGTTGATGCTGGTAGTTACTGCAGTTGAAGGACATCTCGATCAGACGTGGGTTGTGATTATACGTGTGCGTATAATACATTGGCCGAAAGCCTGCCGACTCAGCCTTCGATCCATTTGCAAAGGCAATCTGTTCCCTTTGGATATCGGTCGTTGGGGCTGCACAAAGCTCCTGCTGGAACTTGGTCTCATAGTATTTTTCGAAATATGCTTTGTCGCTGTGCGTGACTGTTACATCGTCATAAAAGGAAGCCCCTCCCATGACAAATCTTTCACGCCTCGATGCTTCTTTACCTAGTATCCTGAGACTTTCGTCTGCCAGTGTGCAGAGCACAAGGTCATCAAAATCTTCGTCTGTGGTGGCTCCATCCCGAAGGTCTTTGATACGGAGCTTGATTCCATATTTTGACCTGGACAGAACCGTACATACTTCAGCTCGCGTTCGAATATTGACGCCTCGGCCGTCTAGGTATTCACCCCATGTTTTGTAAAATCGGCCTAGGTTGTTAAAGGTATACATTGTGGGCAAATTTGGAAGCAATGTATTTCTGTCGTAATCCCAGAGTTTCATGTTTGGGTCATCAAATAGTCGCTCAACAATACCACATGGAACGTTTGCAGTCTGATTCCCGGTGCCCAAAAACAGAGCAATCAGTGGATACACCATTTTGTCGCCAAAGTCCCTTTTGAAGAAGAATATTCGCAGCATGAACGAGATGGGAATAATTCCAATGATTGGAAGTGCCCATTTAATGACCTTGAGGAATAGCCCGAATCGCCGAATATCTGAGGCGTATCGCTGGACGAGTGTACTTGGGAACACGTTTGTCCAGAACCCATCTTGACCTTTACCAAACGAGACTTGTAGTTTTACTTCTTCAGGTGGATACCCTTGCTCATTGAAGAAGTTGAACGTATGTTTGAATATCTTCAGATGGTATAATTTGTCAGCACTGGCGAACTTTATCACTCACACTGGTCCGCAGCATACCTTTGATCCACCCTGCACACCATTATTCATCCAACTTGCACCATATTTGCGCTCATCAAGGGGTATTGACGTGGCTTGCCCACCTAGCACTTCGTTTCTCTCGAGAATCGTCACTTTATATCTATCTGGATGATTGGCTAATGTCGCTGCGCAAGCCTATCTCACGCTCTTTAGCATTACATGGAAACATAGAAGCGTGACAGAGGATCTTGTACACTCTTTGCTATCTAGAGTCTCTGTCGCGGAGTCAAAGAAATACTTACCATACCTGCGGCGCCGCCCCCAACTATGGCGACATGCTGCATCCGTCTATCTGTAGGCTCCGCCATCGCAAGATTGGTAGAATCTACTCGGTCAGTCAATAATGAAGCCTTGGCTCTCCCTGTGGTGCGATCAAGTCAGATCCGAGGATGCCCGAGTAGGAGTATAGGGAAGTTCTGGTTGTAAGTGAATGACTGTCCCGCGCTTAAGAATGCCTGGTAGTCGTTCAAGTTGATAGCTTTCCGGGAGCATATTCCGGCCCAGTAATCCTTTAAATAAACACCAGGCTCAAGACTTTAGGAATAGGCTAGTGTACTTGTGTGTGATATGCTTTGCTTAATATCGATGTGATTTCTAGGGTGTACGTCATTGACTTCCCATCTAGATCTGGGTCAAGTCATTTTAGGGCCACTTCCCTCCCTTGCCCTCCTGTCGCGATGCACTTGGCTCAACATAGCATCCAGCTCTTGTTGCTGGAACATCTATCGTAGCGATCTGTAATTTTCCGGAAACTATATGCTGAAGGCTTGGGAAAGATCCCCCTCCAAGTGTATTGATGCGATTGCAATTGCCTGGCGCTCCGATCTCCGCCGTGTCCCCGACTCCCAACCTCTTGGACTCGAGAGACCTAGATGCGAAATATGATAAACGGCCAGCGCATGAGTCAAGTTTATATATCTCATTGCATTTATAAATGTAGGAAATTTGTTTCTACCTCGTCGTCGTAAAGAGTATCGTATCATTCGTGTGCCAACGCTCAGTTGCATCGAACTTGTTTCCCTGAAAGGAAAGTAATACAGGATGGCTGCTGCTCACGTGATTCCGCGTCTAAGGCGCATCCCACATCAACGCGTTCGTACTTCGCATCCTGGCCAACATGAGTCTGACCTTCATTGCTATGCTGCTAGCTCTATTGAGCGACTCTATTCCCCTTTGAAAGCAGATACTGGCCTGCTACCTAATTTATTGTTGTCAATTTCTCTAGTGGTTCGCAATCATTTATTGGAATCATGGCTGCCGACGAAGAGCAGGAGAGCGACCAGCTAAAATCTTCTATTACTCTGCCACTGCAAGAACGGATGGGCAGGAAAGACGAGGACGTATCGCGGCACTCCAATATATCACAGAGACCGCCATTCAGTCTCGGCTCTCTCAACAGGAAGAAGATGGAAGAGGAGCGACTCGGAAGAATCGCTACCAAGCGGCATCGCATCATATGTGACGAGGAAGATGCAGTGGAAATACCGAAACCGAAACGAGTGGCAATACCAGCGATGAATCATACGATTGCTAAGACCCTGGTGCCTTTTCCGAGGGGCACGGTGAAACGGACATGGGCTCTTGGGTATGACAGGTCACCAGACGACATCAAAATAGAGGAAGTGCTCCAAAGGGACAGGCTGCTGCTTGCCCTATTTTCCTCCTTCCAGTGGGATGAGGCGTGGCTCTTGTCTAAAATTGATACTTCGCGTACCAAAATATTACTGGCGGCTTTTGCAAGCGATGACGCCCAGGTTAGTTCACGAGCGGCAGCCATCCGGTGTATTTCTTTTCGGGAACACGATGCTGATCAGCTAGCAGAAACAGGAAATGCGTATTAATAGCCCCAAGAATATCAAATTCTGTTTTCCGCCTATGTATGGCCCCGGGTCCATGCATTCCAAACTACAGATACTGAAGTTCCCCGACTACTTGCGGATAGTAATTTCTTCAGGCAATCTAGTCCCATATGATTGGGGCGAAACGGGTGTAATGGAAAATGTGCGTACCCTCTCAAATGGCTGCTATGTCACCATATTCTACCTTGCTGAATCTGACATACTTAGATGGTGTTTCTAATTGACCTGCCACTCAAGACTCCAAACGACATAGGTCCAACATCAACACTATTCTTTACCCATCTACAGCATTACCTCCGGGCCATGGGCGTTGATAATAGCATGATTGACAGCTTGTCGAAATATGACTTCTCTGGAACCGAGAATATCGGTTTTGTATATTCCATGTAAGTCTCCAAGGCATTATGTGGAAATATATGTCACTAATCAGCAGTTCCAAGACCTGGAAGCCACCAAAGCGAGTCTCTATCTCGGGCTGGTTCGTTCATGTCCTGATGGGAACGTCATTTACAAAAAGTTAACGCGTCATACCCAGGGCATTACGGCCTCGGAACTACTGTCTCGGCCCTTGGTTTAGCCACAAGTAACCCTATTGAGGTCGACATAGCTGTGCGTACATTTTGACAGCTCGAGGGGTCAGAGGCATGCTAATCATTGGCACAGTGTGCCTCTCTGGGGTCTGTGAAATACGAACTGATCCAGGCATTATACCACGCTTGTCAGGGTAAGTTGGGCCCAAACAGATATTTAAAAAAGCTACGTCACACTGCATGGGTTTCTAATAACTGCCAGGGCGTGCTGGAATGGATAAGTCGGAGTTAAACCATGTTGGAGCCGGTCCAAGTCAGAGGTCTACCTGCTCTGAACTCCAGGAGAATTTTCGAATATACTTCCCGACTCACGAGACGGTCACAAAAAGTCGAGGAGGGAAAAATGTCAGTAGACAGACTGCTGTTTCAGAATGCCATCAAGCAGAAAACTAACTCTTTTGTTAACCAGGCGGCGGGAACTATATGTTTACAGGAGAAATGGTGGCGTGCCTCGACTTTTCCCACTGAGTTAATGCGCGATTGTGTCAGCACCCGGGATGGTCTACTAATGCACACCAAAATCATCTTGGTGAGACACAAGATCAGCCCAGAAACAGGTACAAACGAAAAACTTGCGTGGGCATATGTTGGCAGTGCCAACTTATCAGAGAGTGCATGGTAAGTTGGCATCATAACCGAAGCCCGAAATCCTTTCCATTCCAGGCCATTTAAAAATCGTGTATTGTTTTTATAAACCTCTTTGGAAACTTGAGATAACAACTCGATAGGGGCCGCGTGGTGACAGACAGGGCTTCAGGGCAGAAAAAGATGATATGTCGCAATTGGGAGTGCGGAGTTGTCCTACCTGTTCGTGCTTTTGAACAAGGAAGTGGCCCTGTTGACATGAATGTTTTCCAAGGCACAATACCAATCCCCATGCAAGTCCCAGGACGAAGGTATTACCCAGACGAGCATCCCTGGTTCTTTCACAGGCACTTTGGAGTGCCATGAAAGTGTTCTACTACTACTAGTGCTAGCCAAAGGCAAGGACGGCGTGTCCGACACAGCTTGTGGATCCACGACATGCGCAGGGTTATGTTCAGCAGAGCATGCATTGAAATCGACCGCACGAGTATTGATGATATGGAGATTGCCGAGGGCTACTGGATTGAAACTCCGTTGTGGCGCTTCAAGGGAACAAGGGTACCTAGGTATGTCCCAATCGTGCTACGGGTCAACGGTGGGCAGACGGACTGTTCATAAACGGCGAGACAAGAAATCGGAATGGCCGCGTTTCAACCGGCCTAGTGCCAAATATTTAATACAACACTTGCTGTCCGTGTGTCGGGAGAGAAACAAACACGGATCCGGGTTGTCTGAGCAAGACTTCCGGGATTGTACTACAAACTGCCAGCATGCATTACTCACCGCCTTCCTGGAAGCAACGTTGTCTCGGTCCAGTTTAACAGCCTTGTTCCTGCCCTGTTGTGAACCACGTCCGAAATACATACATACACACAGAGTGACCAGTTGCAGGTGAGCTCGCAAATGGGCAGATGCAGCACGACATTAATTAGGCTTCAATCAGCATACGTAGTCCTTCATCACCCGCGTCAATTATCAAATATATACTAATAGTACTTCACTCCGAAGACACGATAGCTCTTGCTCGGAGCCTTTTCACAGGTCCAACACGCCAGCTACTTTACTCAAGGCGATAGGCCCTAAAAGAAGTACCAAGTCCCTAGGAAAAGACAGCTAGCCTACTCCGTAGATCGGTTGGCATTGGAGAAACAGAAGTGTGGGAAATCGTACGAGAACTGGTCATCGGACCTGGTAGCCGGCGCCACTGCCTCAAGTTGTGCTCGAAACGGCCGACCGATTCGGAGTAGTGCGATCCAAGATACATCAACCCAGATAGATTTGCGTACCCAACTACTGTCTCATCTGTTTGTTGTAGTATGTATGTACCAGGATATTGTTGCCATTGTGAGGTACGGTCACGGGCCGTCCACTACTGGGTACCTACCTACCTATTCCCCAGATGCCTCGGCGAGCAAGCAGGCAGTGCAGGCGGCTACAGCTAGATCTCAGGGATCTTGGCATCTTGAGAAGTAGCCATGATCCTCAGCAGTACATAGTAGTTAGACCAGCATGGTCGGTCAATTGAGTGAGAATGCGTGTAGATGCATGCAGATCGCGTGCCCCAGTGAAGGGGCAGGACGAGATGTGATGGTGGGATGAGAAAGTGGGATGAGGCACGGGCATCTGGAATGTGGCGCCGTCTTTGGAGTGGGCTAGATGGAGTGCCTTGACGGTCCGTTAAACTCTGTTGCTACATTGCGGCCAAGTTTTGGGCCAGACACAGTTGGAGACCCGGCTGCAAATCCTGGCCGCTTTGGTTTGGTGTCTGGCGACAGGCGCCAGAGGGAAAACGTGCATCCCGGACTAACTGGGGCACAGCTGGGGAGGGGTGAAGCTTGAACCACGCTCAACCACACTCGCAGGAGTCCATACGAATATTGTACTGCGCCGAGTAGCATCGCCCCATCCTTTGTTCCATGCTTGTTCTTGGCCGGGCGAGAGAATGGCTGTTGGCATAATTTGCGCAAGCGAGTGGGACGTTGGTTTCCACGAGGAGGTATGTATGTACATATTCATGGGAGTCTTTCCGCCGTACTACTGATGTGTCAGTCAGTCGACAGCCGAACGTCGGGAACAGCCAGGAGATCTGATCGTACATGACAGTATTGCTGTACCGCACCAATAGGGATGAGCCGGTAGGACGCAACCACCTTGGTCTTTACACCCGAGGCATGCAACGGGTTTGCTTCAAGGACAACTACGTACATACATAAATGCCTACCCAGGGGAGGTGCCAGTAGATATTCAACCATCCCGTACATACATATACGAGCAAAAACTACTAGGTATCCAGAGCATTGTCACGCTATCCACCAAGGGAGGAACCTTGGTTGGCCTGTAGTCTGAATTGTCATGTGCCATTTTGCAGGTTGCTTGTCGCCTACAGGGAAAACACCAGCCCTGAATCTGATGGTAGTTGCCATGGTTCCCGAGGTCCTGCATCGATCGACTAATATCCCATATTTCCCAGCTATGCCCAATAATTGTATGGACATGTATGTACTTACCACCACGATTTCAGCCATAGGTCGAGGCAAAGAAGAGGGCCAGAGGCCATTAATGAATGATTTTCGTCAAGATCAGCTCTCCGGGCCACACGATTCGGCACTACCTACTACTAAAGCATTCCCTCGTACATTGTACATCCATGTGCAATATGAAGTATCATCTTGATCACGCAAAGCGGAACAAATGAACATGTCTGTTGGCTGGCTAGCTTTTTGTAACACCAGCAACATACTAACTTCTTAAGATTATAAGATGGCGAACGATGGGAGAAACCATTGATACGAGTGCCCCTTGGGTACACACGCACACACACACAAATGCATATATGTATATATACATACGTGATGTCCTGCACAACTTTGCAAAACATCTCATTGCCTTCAAAGACGCGCTCTGCCACCCGGGATTAGGTTCAATAGCTTTGATGGATACGTACAATAAAGTCCGACGCCGCAAATGTGCAGCAGAAATGGCGGTGCACATCAGACATCTACTGCAATAGCGGTTCTCTAAACTTTTAATGACGGGGGTGGGAGGAATGGGTATCAAGTCCTCCGTATTACTGTGGTGCCAATTGTATGTATGTACAATGATTAATGTCTGGTAGTACTAGTTACAAACATAATAATACATTGGGGTTGGTTGAATTGGCATTGCCGTCAAGGTCGGGTAAATCAGCGGCTGGGGTTGTCGTGCAAGATTCAGCTGGCATGGTTCAATTGGCACCTGGGTGGCTACCGGGATGCAAGGGTGTCGATGCACGCTAACACGTGTCCGGACCAGGGTCATTATCAACCCTGGCACCATTGTGCAATAAACGGCCGCCCGTCTTGGTGATCTGGTCCACAGGGCATTACTGTGTTTCTCCCAGCAGCTCAGGCACTACCATGATTGATGGTGTTGCATTGCAGTGCGCTTGGTTGACAAGTCTGCATGAGGCAAAATCAACCCCCTGTTGTGTCTGTACTAATTTAGACGACGACCCAAGTTGAAAGTCGGGCACTGATAAGGGCTAATTAGCGAGAAATATGGCACCGAGACATGCCGACCTTTTCAGGTACCCGAATCCTCGCCGAGGAGCAGATCGATTGCCCGTTCTCTGCACGCAGAAGAGACGCTCCTGTCTGAGCCCCGAGCACAGCGGATAACATCTACGAAGCGCATTCGATACAAGCGTAGTTTGTGGAGGAGATTGCGATGATATACATATCAAGTCGCATAATGTAGTACTAGTACAAACTTCGTTTCTCCACGTTTATTGCGAGATTCTTCGGGTCCATGGCGCGGGTGCCTGGGGTATGGAGTCCCGGAGAATATTTTACTTCACTGCGCAACAGCTTCACAGTACTAACTAGGTAGTCTTTAGTAGTACCTAAGACTTGCAGCGTTTGGGAAAAGACGTTTTTTTTTAATTAAAAAAAAACCCCGGTAACCACGGAGGTTAAACGGCTGATTGCACTAGAACGATAAACTTCCGGGAGGGCAACCTTATTGCTTATAGTGGTTCAGGAACAGCTTTTCGGTGTGTTTTAAGTTTGGTATGTGTTGTATGCCACGTCACGAATGGACGAATAGGAAAAAAAGAAGAGCAAACACGAGGAAAATAACACGCAGAGACTGGGACATTCGAAAAATTTCCGTGTTGAGAGTTGGGTGGTCTACAATTTGGTACGTAAATGTTGCGTGGGCCCCTCCCTTTCACCCCTTTATCAATCGTTTAGGAGAGGGCTCGGAGACATTGTTGTGAGAAACGGCATAACGCTGCAGTTCATCTCCATTCTACTGGCCCGAAATGTCTCCAACAAGTTGCAGCAAACTACAATATCAGGCTGTAACCTCAAAGTCTGCACCACTTATGTGCAGCACGAACATTGGCATGGTGGTGTGGGTCCCTGGGCACAAGGTCTTCATGCATGATCGGTTCCTGCGTGCATAATTGTGGAGATGCTTAGAGTTGGGGGCTATAAACGGTCCAATAGCCACGACGAAATGATGCTGGGGCATTTTAGGTGTCTGGTGTGCGTGTGCCTTGCATGCATAAGAGTTGCTGCGTGTGTTGTACAACAGTCCAAACGCATCGACAAGGGCAAAACTAAGCTTAGCATACCATACTTGCTCCCAAAGTCAAGAACCTCAATCCCTGGACGACTTGTTCAGAGTACTATTGCATTGTACATACATGGACTGAATAGATGTAGAGGCCTCAAGGTTCTAAATGCGGGCTGGATCAACACGATATACTATCAAGACTTCTTGCGGAACTGGTCGAATGCAGAGGATGGTATTTACTTGGTCATCCAGACGCTTCAAGCTACATGCATTATTAGCCCAAGTGAGTGGGTGGCCCTGGAGTTCCGGGTCGTGAAGCCAAAATGCTGTCGGGTACTACTACCACTACCAGGTTGCTAGAGCTAACAGGACGGTCAACCACGAGCATACGCTAGGTCAATGGACTCAACTATTTTTGGCCCGGAACCGCTCTTGTCATGTTTCAGACCGTCTTATTTCATCTAAATGTCCCCATTTGCACCATGAGGAGCTCAATATCTACATGGTGCATGCGGCCAAGCCTTTTCCTCTGCGTCGGGGCCGGCGCTACAAATAGCCAACCACGCAAACTTTGAAGCTTTACGGCGAACAGGTAGGGGATCTATGTTCTGTCAATAGTCTGTGCCGATCCGAAAGGAAATTGCCATTAGGCTTCCGGGCCGCTCGTCTCCCAAGGCCTTGGCGCCAAAAGCACGACAGGCAACCTTAAGTAGAATACCTGCAGTTGTCCGCCAAGCATCCGCATCACCAATACAGAGTAGGACTGCGATTACTAACGACTGAATACTACATTGCATCTCAATCCGACACGGCATATCAATTCACCGTGAATTCCTGGTTCCGTCGGGCGACCAACCAACGAACCCGGCTCTTGTACTCCGTACTAGTACTATGCACATGTACATACTGACAACCTAGGACATGGACATGCGCGTAAACCAGCGCCTCAGACCCTGCTCGTGCATTTGCAAGCTTCTGCCCCGACGAGCTTGTTCGGATAACCAACCAGTTAACAACATTGGAGTCTGGTTCGTCCCCCCACCCCCCGCCGCAAGGTAGTAGAAGGCAGTGACCTAGCGTAGTGTACACAGAGCACGGAGTGTACTTAGTACATAGGAGAAATTAACATGTGCTGCAGGTCAAATTCGCCAGGACACGGCCAACTACGTCTTCCCCGGCCCTCCTAGTAAGTTTCTTACTCGTCTTAAACTTTTTTTCATTTTATTTTCTAATATGTTCCCTTTTTGTTTCTATCGCGCTACTCTTGCCTCTTGTGTTTCTGCCTTTCCTGCTTATTCCAGTGCACAAGCGTCAATGCCTGCCCCGCACTCGTTGAAGCAAGTTCTTCAAATGCCCCCATGCTTATCCCCCCATAATATCCCTGTCAATTCAAGTGTTTGATTGGCGCACCAAACCTTGCCCACCCCAACGCCACCCCAACGCCGCAGCACACACATCTCACCACTCGCTCTACAGCTTCCTGGCTCGTGGGCCCACGCAAAAGAGGGGTTGTCGTCGTCCGTGTCCGGCCGGCTACCGACGAACCCCCATGGGCTGCCTGTCGGCCTTCAATTTGATCTGTTTGCAGTACGAAATGTCGGCAACTCTGGGGCGAATATTCGACACCAAACACCGACAACCCAATATTGAACATGAATGCAACCCGTGTGACGCCGTGGCACACATGTTCACGGAGAAATTACTAGTGCTTGAGCCCGAGTCCGTATACACACAAACCCAACAGGAAACATCAATGATACCTGCACAAGAACAACGGACCGCAAAGGCTTGGATGGAAACCGTCTAGACCGACCGACGGCCACGGTACACAACACCAACCTGATCAATCCAGCGCCAAAGGCCGCGATTACCCACCACCGCCACCATCCTCCTCCCTGTTCTCGTTCTCGGTGCGAGAGGAGGCCACACACAGCCTGGCAAGTCAATGAACGACTGGAGTTTGGAGGCGGTCCTCTCGGGCTCTTCTGCGCACTCTCCACTTCGATTGCCACATTCTGAAGCTGCCTCCAATAGACTCTTCGTCCACTGCCTTGCGTACGACAGGAAGAAGTTGTACTGAGCCTCATGGTTGGGGAATCAGACAGTATTCTCCGATGCGAATGGTCCTTCTTTTGCTACATCGACACTGGATCGTACAGCTATCAGAAACTCCGGCGTGCCCCGCGTCGCTCCAGCCATCTTTGGATGTACGTATAATATACATGCATATGTACTGTATTTGGCGAAAAACGAAATCAGCTAGTCGCTCAGCCGACTCTGGGTTGATGGTGACGAGCGTGGGTTAGTTATACTTGACATGACACGACCAGGCAAGCTTCTTAGGCGGCTGCCTTGGCCCTCGAAATTTGGGGGATCGGTGACACTGCATCTCTAAGCGTCTGAAAGTCGTAGAGCTACTATGGGGACAAATGAGCACTCAAATACGTCTGGTGGAATACACAATGATGAAGGTATGTATGGAACGCGTGGGCATGTTTTGGCCGAGTCACCGGCCACTTACAATTAGCTTGGTTTTCAGCCTTAGTCTTGTTCCTTTCACGTCAAGTAGAATCCCCCATCGATGTCTGCTTCTCAAAGCTGCAGGTAATTTCCCCTTTCACAACTTGTTTCCAATAACTCCTATTCAGCCTTTGCCAAATGCTGTATGAACCTTCGGCTATTGCTTGCCTGAAGATACTTCAACGTCATATGTACTACTAGTCACGAGATGCTCGACCGGATCTCGGGCTGTCTACCACCTTGTTAGTAATAGGCACGCACCTTACTCACCACAACTTCCTCCCTTGCCTAGTGTGCAATGCTGCCGACAGGATCTCAATTCGAATTGCTTTTGCAGTGTTGTATGTATGTCGTCGTCGTCGTGGGACAACAAAGACTGGTACTTTCCTAGGGACCTATGAGGTACCTAAGGAGACGGACGTCAAGGCATTGGGAGTCATGTGGCTCTCATTCCGCGACGATGCAAATGAAAATATAATATCAATTCTTGCCCAAAATTTCTGAATCTTGCAAAGTCTTATGGCTTGGTCCTCTCCGCGTCTCTTGTTAGTAGTACTGTAGACGGTGTTTGCGGTGCGGTGCGAAATGGTAAACAAGCCGATCACACTGGGGCTTGAAAACCCGAATGGGTCTAGTTGCTTACTATATTCACGCCCACTCCGACGGCGCAAGCTCCTACGCCCTTTCCGGCACTCGTAGTATTTTGGTATGGCCAGCGCGGCTAAGTACTACCGAGACCGTAGTTGCGTCTGGTCGCTCTCGATGTTACGAGGTCCGCTCCAGTCTGCGACGCTCGAGCGAGTCGACGTCGACGGCATGTTGGCAACCTGGGAACCTCCTGGCCGTCAGGACTGCTTACTTAGTACGCACCTACTTTTGCATCTAGGTACCTAGTATTTGAGCGACCAACCTACCAGACATTTTCCCCTCGCCAGGACGGAATACCCGTACTTAGCAGGCCTAGGCGCTCAAGTGGTCGGGTATCCCAAAATAAAAGTAAAGTTAAGTTAAAAAAAAAAAAAAAAGAAGGAAGGGAAGAAGGAAGGAAGGGGAGAATCTGGATTGTGCATGGCATTGCGTGTCGTGCATGTGTGTAGTTGCTACCCACCCAGGTAGATTTGTACTCATGTATGGATGTGTGTTCGTGTGTACTTTTTGGTTGCATGCAGCTCTCGAGGGGTCCTGGCCGATCTTGCCGACTTACACCACCATCAGACTGGCCCTCCAAGGTTGCCAATACTTCAAGACTCCAGCTTTGGAAGATGCACGATTGACCCGGGAGTTCACTAGTGTGTTGTGTTCAGCTATCAGGCCATTTGGCTATCCGCTCATCCATCCACATGCGTCTCATTGGCTTCCTTGCAAATACTCCAAGCTTTTTACCTCTAGTCGAGCCGCCGGCCAGACCAATTTGACTGACCATAAAGGCCGCCACTGAACATTGATTGCTCATCGACACCATCTCGTCACCCCCATACTGGCAATGCTGCGGAGAAATTCATCAAGCCACAAGATCACAGTGTGCCTTGAGTTACTCTGGTAGCACTCATCGTACCTCAAGTGTAGTCACAGAGGTGTGTAGGTCGCGTTTGCCTGTCAACTTTTGATCCCGCATCGTCGAATCGCAAAGCAGCCCTACGCCTCGATAAAAACTTAATACTGGATCCTATCCCCTTCAGGCCAGCGCCCTGTCTGTATCCATCCATTTCTGTCCTTGTTCGTTCGTCCAAGCTGTCCCTCCACCCCCCGGCCCAGTCCCCCCCGAGGCCAGACAATCACCCGCCAACCTCCGTCTTCCCGCATCTTTGGCGCCTCCTGCTTGCTTCCCATCGGAGTCTGGTCGAACTCAGAACTCTGTGTGCCATTGGCATTGGGCATCTTGGGAACTGGCTAGAGAACTTGGCACCACGACGGCGCACTGTCACGGCACGCACCACGAGAGTCAATCTGTCGCCCTCCACTGCGTCCACCAGGTCCCTCCAAACTTAACACCACCTCCTCCCACGCCGCCTCAAGCCACAGCTGTTCCCGAGACTTTTGCTCGTTCTTGACTTCTCCTTCAACCTTCAATTCTTTCTGCAGCCTCTCTTCGTCTTTTCTGCGGACTGGACTGTGTGGCCCTTAATTCGTTTCTCGGCTCTGCTGCCTTGACATCTTCGGCTCCCTCCTGCCCTGCAACTTTCTTCCCCAACTTATTTTCTCCGGCCAAAGCTTCCGTTCCCTCTAATTCCTCCAGTGCCGTTACATTCACAAACTCTGCCTCTTAATCCGTCTTCTTACTCTGCGTACTCTTGCTCTCTCTACTCTCTCCCCGCCCTCGCCCCGAGGAAGGAGCCCCCCAGTCGAACCGGAAGCGAAACCATATCATTTGCCTAAACACCAGAGATCACCAGTATCCGTACCGTTTTGTTTTGGTATTCGCTACCGCAGGGGCTCCTCAGAGCATCCAAACTACTGGATTGCACGGGAGCTGAGCTACGATCTCCAGGAAAGAAGGTTATCACCGTCTTCCTCCGAAAGTTAAAACTTGGCCGGTGCAAAGCTTCGCAGAACCATGTCAAATCAATCCAACCCCCTTCGTCCTACCTTTGAGGGACTTGTCGCCTCTACATATGATTCACTGGTTTTGTTCGAGGCCTGCTTGTCTGGCCGACTCACCCACGTACCACGTCGCCCTCATGATCGGGAGCGCCAGGACCTCATCAAAAGTGGCAATGTCTTCATTTACGAAGAGCACGCTTCAGGCATCAAACGATGGACCGACGGTGTATCTTGGAGTCCCAGTCGAATTCTCGGCAACTTTCTTATATACCGGGAGTTGGAGAAGCCGTTTCCGCCAGGAGAAAAGAAACGAGCCCTTAAAAGAAAGAAGTGTCCTCCAGGAGGCATCGGAAAGGCGGACTCTACCTCACACCTAAACATGTCTGGTTTCACTTCACCTGCTGCCATGGATGGCGCCAATATCAAGGATACCGAGAGGGCATTGATCGGATCATTGATTGATTCGTACCCTTTCAAGCCCGACGGATTGGTCAAGAAGACAATCAGCGTAAACTATAATGGCGTTCCTCATCACCTTGTGAGCTACTACAAGGTTGACGATGCGGTTGCTGGAAATCTTAATACCCCGTCAAGGAGCTACGGTTTTAGTGGCATCTCACCTCGAAACGAACTCCTAGTGTCCCAGAATTTTCGTGCTCCCATTGACGAAGTACAGTATAGCCCGGACGACGAAGGTGGTGGCCCCTCGGGTCTCATCGCAACAGTTGTAAATGCGCCGACTTTTCCTGGTGGCTCACATGCCCATATGCCCAGAGCCATGTCCATGGCGGGCTTCCATGCTCCGGTGCCAGCAGCGTACGGGTCTATTCCCTACACATACCATCCACAACACCAGTACCTGGCGACGATGAATTCGCCCATGCCAGTTCAGATGCCACAGCCGCTTCCTTCTTCGATTCAGCCCCCGTTGGGTTCTTCAGCTCCGCAGTCGATTCCGCCGTCTATCTCTCCAGCAATGCCGTCCAGCACATCTTCAATGCCATACACTCCTCAGCCACATGGTAATTATTCTTTGGGCCCTACCAGAGCCTCCCGCTTCAGTGCCAGCACTGGTATGGATAGCGAATTCCCGCGAAGTATGCCACTACACGATCCGCCAAGACGGAATTCGGCATTCGAACTTGCACAGCCTGCAGAGCTGTCCTCGATGCATCTTAGCACAGTCCCCGGAGGCAGACCTCCCCAGAGCGGCAATACATATGTTGGACAGAGTTCGTACTATGTTCCCCACCGAGCTGGCCAAATCGCGAGCCAAGAGGGACAGGCTTTCAATCAGCCACGGCAGACGAAGCAGGATCCCAATACATTGACTGGCGCGGAAGCTGGGACCCAGAACTACAACTTGGACCAGAATACGAATGATTGGGCCCTTGGACAGTCTGACGGCCAAGGCGACCTACAGTATTTCGGAAATAATGCAAGTAATGGCTCCGAGCAGTGGCCTGGGGGTTCCAATGATTTGGGGCGCTCCTGAGTGCTCATAAATTCATACTCTACGCAGCATTTCGCTACCAACGTCTTTGGCTTGTATGCCTAGCATTTTCACACGATCTATGTTCTTCCTGCGGGCAGATATTCTTGCTTCTTCTATTCTTCGTTTCTTTCTGGGGGCTTGATGGGCTATCACTGTCTTCATGCTGCGGCTACGCTTGTTTTTTGTCGTTCTTCTCTTCTTCACCTTCATTTTCCCAGTATCGTGTATGCTTCTATGGCTGGGGACCGTCCTACAATTACTTAGCGATAGCTTTGGTAGCGAGCAAGACGCTTCTTTAGGGTTTGCTTTTGTTTCACTCCCTGCTGGCGTATGGAAAGGGTTGGGGAAGCTCTGCACTGATGCCGCTCGCTGTGGTTGTTGTTTTTTTCGTTCTTCCTTTATATATATATATATATGTACGCGAAAGAGGTCTGCTTGGGCTGGCTGTTTCTATTGTCAATTTGGCGGTGTTTTGGGCATAAGGGAAAAAAAGGGACGGGTTTCCAATACGGGTTTTCAACTATTGTTTAAATTGATCGGTTGTTGATTGTTGCCACGGCGCTTGGGGTTGTACTCTGTTGTACGTCATGGTTGGGTGGGCACCATGTTTGAATAGACCTTGCTATAAGAATTCTTAGATGATAGTCCCGCGAGGGAGGTCCTCTGTGACTCATCACTAAACAAGAGCATCAAAGACAAGAGGGCCGAGAGATGGCTGCCATAATATGTGTACCATCGGGACAACACAGGAAACACAGTCCAGAAGTCATAACGCGTGCGGCCTGGAAGGAGGCTACCTTCTAGGGTAGGTAGTTGGCTATGTGCAAACCCCGTTGATGGGACCCGCTCCCCCCGGGACTGAAAATAACCGATTTTATCATCGTGCTGTAATCTGACACCAGATAAGTCACAACAGCATAGGAACCGACAAGTTCAATTCGTTACTGAACTTGACACTAGAAATTGGTTTTATCAGGACCACGATCAAGCTCGCTGCCGAATGGCACTGACTGATTGTGAGTGAAACACCATGCTTATGGTCCCATTTCTCTCTCGAGCAACGAGCCGGGCACGCTGCAGAGGGCCTTCACGCAATGCATTTAGGGCAATCAGCACACGCTCGCCAGCAATCTTGCCCCGATCATCACCAGTATCGCCCGTTCTCCGCACCCGCATAATCGTCAGGCCCACGGAGAGCCAAAACCCAGTCCGATATTACAGGTGAGCAGCTTCTTACGATTGCCCAGTCAACGCCCAAGCGTCATAGACCCGAGGCAAGTTGATTAGGATCAGAAACTGATAGACAGAGCCATAGTTGCCGCTCTAGTCAACCCCAGAAAGCCGACCATCCCAAAGCGGAATCGACGTCACAAGAGAAAGCGGGAAATCCAGCTGTCCACACCCCTTCAGGGACGAGCGAGGTTATTCACGAGGATATATATACAGTACCGAATTTCCTAACGATTACAAGACTTATAGCAGCCCCCGTTATAGGGTATTTGGTTCTTCATGACTCTCATGCGTGGGCCGTGGGATTGTTCGCGTATGCTGGGATTACGGACCTGCTCGATGGCTGGATTGCTCGTAAATGGAATCGCAAGACGGTGGTTGGAACCATAATAGATCCCATGGCGGACAAGGCTCTCATGACGATACTGACTATATGTTTGGCCGCCAAAGGCGCTCTGCCGTGTACGTGTCCTACAGAGTGAAATGGCCCAATGTCTGGAAATATTTTGGAGCCAATTGCTTTGCTTGATCCCCATCTCCAATTACCAGTCCCTTACCTGCTGACGATTTACCTGTTTGATGCTTTAGTATGGGTCGCGACGGTTATTTTAGGAAGAGACGTAGGCCTTGGGATGGCTGCTATATATTACCGCTGGATTTCGCTACCACCGCCCAAGACTTTCTATCGGTATTGGGATTTCTCTCTCCCATCCGCGGAAGTTCGTCCCACAACAATAAGCAAATACAACACATTTTTACAGCTTGCTCTCGTTGGCTTCACAACAGCAGCCCCACTTGTCGAGACTGATCTGACATCAGTGTTGACGACTTTGCAGTAAGTCTTATTGATAACGCTCCTCCCTCAACTATCCAGTTTGTCGGTTTTGCTGACGAGGCATTAGATATGTCGTAGCGGCCACCACTATCGGGAGTGGCGCCAGCTATATATTCAGCAAGGATGCTGTGAAGATCCTGAAATAGAGGACCAAGATGGTGAAAGCACACTTGCTATTCGGCCCAGGGAGGTCTTTGGGGAATCCCCCTTCCCCCCAAGGGCGGAATGTAGCACATTCAAGCTTAGGACGTGGCTGTGATGGTATTTCCAGATCCGCCCGTGTATCATCCTGTATTAAGACTTACAGACCCTGGGCTGAGTTTAGGAAAACAAATCAAATCAAGAGTGTATACAGTATAAAGGTTGTCCTGTGTATTTGCGCACATAATTATTCAAAATATATTTCCACACTATTGTGCATCTCATGAAGTACCTCAGATACGGTACATTCGCCCAAGACGCCGAGAAAAGCTTACTCTAAGAACACATGGCCTAGTTCACTCGCGGCGCATCAGAAAGAGAGCGCTGGCGTATGTGTGCCAGGAGCCTGACAGTACCTGCGGGAGTAACGCCTTCGACTCTACGTGCTTGTGCTAGGGTTTCTGGACACGCAAGTTTCAGTAGTTCCTTTTCAGATAAGGCTAGACCGGGTATGGCGTCGTAATTGATGTCTAAGGGCAGGCGAACGCTCTCGTCATAGGCGAACCGACCTCGTTCAGCAGCTTGCATCCTGACATATGGTGCATATACGGCTTCAATAGCAACACGGTCTCTAACCCGAGTCGAGTATGATTTAATTTCCGGAATGGAGGTGCTCAGCTGTTGAAGATCAACTCGAGTCCCGGTATTCGATAGTCGAAGAATATCAATACCTGCCCGGCGCGGCGAGTTCTTCTTGAGATGCCAACCTTGTTCCGACCATTGTGTGGATGTGAGAGACACCGAGTTGAGTATCTTTGTAAGATCGTCAATCTGCTGACGCTCGTCTGAAAATGCTTTCCAGCGGGAATCAGAGACTACGCCCCAGTCCCGACCTTTCTCCGTAAGCCGGAGATCTGCATTATCAGCTCTGGCCGCCATGCGGAATTCGCTTCTGGATGTAAACATCCTGTAGGGCTCCGTAACGCCCTTCGTAATGAGATCATCTATCATAATTCCAATATAACCATCGGATCTGGATATTGACACTTCGGACAATCCCTGAGCAACTCGCCCTGCGTTAATGCCTGCCATGACACCCTGCCCAGCGGCTTCTTCGTAGCCAGTGGTACCGTTGATCTGCCCCGCGAGGTATAGACCGTGGATAGCTCGAGTCTCGAGCGTGGATTTGAGCCCACGAGGATCGATGTAGTCGTATTCAACACCGTAGCCCGGCTGCAGCATTTCTACCCGCTCGAGGCCTTTGATAGTTCGCAATGCCTGCTTCTGAGCCTCAGGTGGTATGGTCATTGACAACCCATTAGGATATACAATTTGACTCTCGAAGCCTTCTGGTTCAAGCCAAACTATGTGTCGCTCTTTGTCTGGAAAGCGAAGAACCTTGGACTCCAAGGATGGGCAGTACCTTGGACCCTTAATTGTCTCTCGGATATGAACGGTGTTCTGGAGGTTTTCACGTACAATTCGGTGAGTTGCGTCGGTAGTGTGTGTAATGCTACAGGTCAGCTGATCCGCGACGGACACAGCATTATTCAAAAAGGAGAACGGAGTGGGCGGTGTGTCTCCATATTGAACCTCCAGCTCCTTAAAGTCAATGGTCTTTTGATCCAGCCGCGGAGGTGTACCGGTCTTGAGTCTTCCGAGCTGGAAGCCTGCAGTCCGAAGCGATTTACTTAATCCAAAGGTAGCTGCTTCACCCAGTCGCCCTGCCGGGTAGCTCTGGAGACCGATGTGTATTTCGCCGCCCAAGAACGTGCCAGTGGTAATAATGACCTTGTTTGAGGGCAAAACTTGGCCAGAGTCTAATCGGACCCCTGCAACGGATTTGGAAGCTCCTAGTGCCTGTGGAGGGTCAAGCTTCGATAAAATAATATCAGAAACACTGGCGAGAACGATTGAGAGATTCGGATATGACTCAAGCTCCTCTCTCATGTATTGCTTGTATAACTTTCGATCGATTTGAGCACGAGGACCCTGTTATAAATGATGAGTTAGTCCATATACTCGATTCTCAACGAGGTCATATATTGGGCTTGACATACCCACACCGCTGGTCCCTTGCTACGATTCAACATGTGAAACTGGACACCGGCTTTGTCGATAATTTTTCCAGCTAGACCATCAAGAGCATCAATCTCTCGTATTATCGTTCCCTTTCCGATACCCCCAAAACTCGGATTACATGAGCAAGTCCCAATGTTATCGATTTTTGGAGTGACCAATGCAGTTTTCGCCCCTGTTCTTGCAGCTGCGGCACAGGCTTCAGCACCAGCATGGCCGCCGCCAATGACGATGACATCGAAAGGCCTAGCAGAAAACTTAGTACAGCTGATGAGAGTCAAGAATTTGTTGGGCTTGGCTGAGACCAACTTGGAGTTCGCTGCCGTAGCAAATTGGCGACGGGGAAGTCCACGCAGCGACTGGTGGCATGTTGTGCGTACTGTAATATGCATGAAATTATCGCGATACATATCAGATCAAAAACTACTCTCAATTTTCGGGAATGTGATGCATTGTCACTCTGATGGCGGGTTCTCTGATGGCGAAGGCATTTTCCCTGATGCTGGTGCAAAGTTCATGGGAATTTATTGAGCGACAAATTTTGGGATTGGCTGAATGCCTTTTATTGTGGGTCGCTGCTCTTGGAGGTGTGAGCCGTCGTCACTCCGAACTAGACGGTCTAAGAGCTCGTGTATGGTGGTAAAACTAAAACTTTTTTTTATTCCAATCCCATACAGCTGAATACGCTTGCTATCTAATTAATAAAGGAACACTTCGGTATAAGAGGCCGTGTCACGTCATCTGCGGCCAGTGACTTCTGGCCAGGAGCTCACGGCATCGTCGACTTCGTTAAAGAAGGTGGCCGCATTGAGGATAGAAGTGCCACCCAGAACCACCCTCACCCCTGGCGTTGTTGCGTTTATGCCGGTGATCATCTTAGCCTCCTCATATGTTGCGCCGCCCACGACAAAGACAATTACATCCTGTGGCTTATCTCTTGTTGACCCCCCGCCTTCCACGAAGGGATATTGTTGTTCCCTCAAGCGACCCTTGATGAGATTCTGCAGTGTGCTTTCCAAAAGAGATGTGTGTTGCGTATACACGTTTTCCACACCCTTTAGCTTGAATCTGCTTGAAGCACCAGAGAAGATGCCCGCAGAGTCAAATATGTCGGAAATTCCGCCCTGAGATGGAGATGTGTGGAGAGATAGGTGGTAAGCGAGGATCTTGTTAACTAGGCTCGACTGTGCCGGTGAGACACCGCCGGCTGCAACTAGAAGATCTACTAGCATGGGAATGGCATTGGATTGCTGTTTGTGATAGCGCAGAGCATATAGTGCTACCAGCCCAACTTTGGCATTAGCCGTGATGTCGGGGGTTTGAATTAGATTTTGGATATTCTGGCGATGCATTTAGTAGGCTGGCACAGTGATTTGGAAATCGGTCCTGACCTTCAGATCCGTATTATGATTGTCATTGCACGCAAGGCTTTGCTCAACCTCGCTCACCTCCAATAGTTTTTGGGCCGATACCCGTCGACTTAGCTCTGATACGAGGGTGACATGCTTGCTGACATTTCCCGAGAGCTTACGAAACTCGGGATATTCCTCAATAAACCGCTTCATGTCAGCTATCGACTCGATATTGGCATTGTTTTTCGTCTTGGACTGATACTGCTCAACATAGTCCTTTATCGTCGAACCTAAATCGCCAAAATTTAGGAACATGTTTTTCTTGAAGAAGGGGTCTTGGTCTTGAGACAAGACAATTTCCCTCAGCTCCGGCCGTATGTCTGGGACATTGCTGAGGTCAACTCGGCCGTTGTGAATACCCAAAAGGTGGTGAACCATGGCTTGGTATGTCCACTGAGTAAGTAATGGTGTCACAGGATCCTCTCGCCTGTCGAGAATCAGAAGAATCGGCGGCGTGTCAACTTTTCGGAACTCGAAAAGCTGTTCTTCCTGGGACATGAGATAGCGCAGCTCTGATGCCAGTTTTTTAGCCAGTGGGCTGCTTTTCTCATATCTGATGAGTGGCTTTTTCTTCAACGACAATAAAACTGCAAGCAAACCTTCGGAACATCTCTGAAGAGAATCCGCATTCCAGGCATCGGGATTTGGGCCCCATATACGCCACTGTGGAAGAGATACCGAGAGTGAGAATAAATCAGAGTTGATAACCGTATAGTCGGCGAAGTGTTCCTGAACAGCTTTCACCACCTCGTGGTCATCTGCCTCTGCAAGTCGTTCTAGGGACGACTTTTTCGCTACGTTCGTGAAGTACAGATAATATTCGCCATATTTAGGATCGCGCAGCTCATCTATTAGAAGTTGGATACTCTCAGATGATGGGCGGAGGAGGCACAGGCATCGAAGATGACGCATTTTTTCGCGGCCGGTATTGTCCAGGCGATCAATGAGATATACTTCGTGATTCAGTAATGATGATTGCGTAACGGCCGTCGAAACAATAGATATGGTTTCCCTATCCAAAAGCAATATTTTCATTTTTGTTGAAGAAGCGTCTCCGGAGGGCATGACGATCTTTGAGATGTAGCTAGATATAGCCTGGGAGACGTCCATTTTCGACGATAAGGTGAGGCCACCTCGGCCTTGACCAGCGTCTCTTTATGTCACAACACTCTTTAGATTGTTGCCAAGGCAGATTCGATTTTGGCAGAGGAGATGCTGGTGCTGCAAACCTCGGAGATCAAGTCAAAGATAAAGCCAGCGAAAATGAATGCCCGAGAAAGCGGCAAATTTTGATAGGGAAGTGTCTGGCGCGCTGAATGAGAAGCTTGCGTTGCTCGAGTCTGTGAATGGTAGCCTGGGACGTAGGTTAGCGACACATGATGTGTGGCACCTCCCAGAGAGGGCCCCATAGCTTTGGTGGACGACTCGGGTACGTGCATACCGTAACCCGCTATGCACATAATATTCCTCCTCCATGCCCTGTTCCAGTCGCCACTAGGAACTTAGCAGGCTTAATTAGATTTTGGGCGAACTTTCAAAAGTCAAGGGGGCAGTTGTTCAGTATTGCCATGAGAACAAAGCTGCATTCTTTGTTCTCCCACAACCAAACCCTGCTAGTAGCCGCGCACCCGTGTCTTGGAGATGATGGCTTTAGAGGAATGTCCACCGAGGTCAGAGCCGACGTAAGTACAAAGAACCTTGTTCTGCAACGGCCTTCATTGGTATCAACTCATATCTTCATTTCAGGCTCTCATTCACACAGGGGCTCGTCGTAGGGCAACTGTCCGTAGTACTGATACTGGCTGCGTTTATTAAATTCTTCATCTTTGGCGATCCACCGTCATCAGATGTAACAGCATCACTGCGTGCCACGGAAAGGAGGTCCAGAACACTCGCTCACAAGCAATCTCTTCTCAGTTTGCGCAGTCCGAGCCAAAGACAGAGCCAGCATTTGAAGCGCAAGAAGTCCAGTGTGCTACGGAACCCACCCACGCTCACCATTGGATCCATTTTGAGCAAAACTTACTACAACGTCGACAGCCACCAACCGGAAAGCCTGGATTGGTTCAATGTCCTTGTTGCTCAGACAATCGCTCAATTCCGAAGCGACGCACAACATGATGATGCCATTCTCAATTCCCTAACTAAGGCGCTGAACGGGGCATCCCGGCCTGACTTTATCGATGACATTCGTGTTACGGAACTGAGTTTAGGCGAGGACTTTCCTATTTTCAGTAACTGTCGTATTATCCCCGTGGATGAAGACGGCCTTGGCCTCGGGAATGGCATCAAATTTGATGCCACGGCTGCTGCACGGGATGGAACAAGACTGCAAGCTCGGATGGATGTCGACTTGAGCGACATGCTTACTCTTGCTGTCGAAACAAAACTGCTTCTTAACTACCCGAAGAAGCTATCTGCTGTTCTCCCTGTTGCGCTGGCCGTCTCTGTTGTTCGGTTTAGCGGGACTCTGTCCATTTCCTTTATTCCAAGCAATCCGTCGCAATCGACACCGACAATGATGACTTTCAGTTTTCTAGATGATTACCGATTGGATTTTTCCATCCGCAGCTTGCTTGGGAGCAGATCCAGATTACAAGACGTACCCAAGATTGCCCAGCTAGTCGAGGCTCGGCTGCACAGGTGGTTTGACGAGCGTGCGGTGGAACCCCGCTTCCAAGAGATAGCTCTCCCAAGCTTGTGGCCGAGAAAAAAGAACACCCGAGGACCTGATGATACAATTGTGGATGGAGGCTTGTCTATCAGTCGATCCAAAGGGAAAGATATTGGTCGTGATGTTCGAGATGAGATTTCATGGCGGAAAGAGACATCGACCGAGGACAGAAAATGGGACATGGCGTCGCTGAGGCATCGCAACCCTGTAAAAGATACCGACATACCTGATATACCCGGTTCACCCCATAGCCCTTAGCATTTTCTGTATCTAAGTATAGAGTGTTCAGATTATTTGCCTGGCTGTTGATGTTGAAAGATGTTACATTAAATTTTGTACCGCCAGAGGAACCCCTGAACTCCTGAAAGATACCACCCACCTATTGTCGTCATGGGTCACCGCGTGCGTCGCATACCAGTTTACAAGGCTTTAGTACAAAAACGCAATTGCCCAAATATGTGGCATGGTTTTGTCGGCTGGGTTTTACCACCGCATCCCGGCAAGCCTTAGTCCATTTGTCTAGAATTCGGCGAGAGCCATTGGCGAAGTTGTCAATGAAGATATGTTTTGCCACCACAAAACGCAGCCTCCCAGAAGCAACACATAATACGGGACAGTCCACCTCAACACATTGCTGGGTTGGTAAAGCTCATGATTCGAGAGCCAATATGGCTCTAAAACACCCCAAACACGAGGAAGGCCCATTGAGTTACATAGCGTATGGACGGTGACAACAGATAGCAGCGATCCGGTACGCAGGAATATAAACGTAGCATAGGCCCCAAACACACTGGTATAGGAAAGCTGGAGAATGGAGCGGGCGATTGCAGCGACAAGAGGCGTTTCGGGATGCGTGACGCGGAACTCATAGAAATGGTGGAGGTGTGCGAGCCCAAAAACAAGGGGCGAAAAGAATATGATGCGTTTGATGCTACAACCAGCCACCAAGAGTAACGGCACAGCTGCGGAACGGAAAAGGCATTCCTCAGTAATAGGACCCTGCGTAATTGTGTAAGTTTCCGCCATGGGTCAGGTGCAGACGCTGAAGGATGAAGAGCTCATACGGCTACCATGTTCCTCCACATAGCCCAGTCTCCCCAAAGCTGCCCCAAGGGTTCTAATCGCAACCATGACTGCCATACACCATCAATGAGCAGACATTCATACAGGGGCCCGGCAAATAGCAAAGTAGTTAGGAGTAAGGATCTGAATGCGTCAATGATCCCCAATGGCCAGTATCCCATGATATGCCACGGTGAGCCTTGGTCAGCAGCGGAGCTTCTACAGAGAAGGACGAATGTTGCGAGCGAGCACAAGGTAGTTGAAAACGACACTGAGCGAATCCTGGCACGTATTGCTTCCGGTGCATCCCTGGACCTACCAGCCGCGGCCCTTGTCGACGCCGATATATGTAAAGGGAGCACATAGATGAGACAGTATACAATCTTGAAATTAGCACAAAAAGGCTTAAAGTCAGCTTTCCAGGGCACGATATGCTTTGGTTTCAAGCGGTAATGGACAATAAGAAGGACTCCTGGGCTGCTCTGGGGTAAAACATGCAAGTGAAGAACTTACCAAAAGACTGAAGGCCTGTAGCTGACTCGGGTTAGGCTGACTCGACGCGGGACTTGGCCAGGAACTCATTGTTGAGAAGGATTCGGATAGAGGCCTTGATATTGTTTTTTGCATCAGGCGTGAGTGGATGAGATGTAAGCAGCTAAATTAAAATCCAGACTGAGGAATGCCTATATGGTTGTGTGCGTCTAATGGGTATCTGATTGGAGCGTGCAATTGAGAGAATATCGAAAACGTTGGACTGAAGTTATTTATCGAGATTTTGGCACTGGTCTACTTCGTACTTACCTACCTAGGTACTTAGGTACCTGCCTCTAAGTAGGCACCCACGTTGGTAGCAGTGCAGTGCGTGCAAATTTCATTACGCAGATAACGACGGAAGTGCTTCGTAGGTAGTGGGAACCTGGGTAGTGGTGGGTCTGTTAATTCTGTCGAACTATTGGGCTAGGCCGGTCAACTACCTACCTAGGTATGTAGATACAATTGTCTGTGCAAATTGAGTCCTACCAGTTGACAGCTCAGTGCCAGCACTCGATTGCCCCTGGGTACCTAGGTACTTTACCTAGTAGTAGTTATGCTAAAACTGGGTGTTTATCTCTTCAGCTCCCCAATGGCTCGTGGGGCTTCCTCTGCTATATAGTTTTCTTAGGGAAGAGAGTCTCCATAAGCCATTGGGCAGCTAAAGAGATAGTACGAGGCCTACAAGAAGAATGTTGGGGGGGGGTTAACTACTAGGTACGTACATACTTAGGTAGGTGGGTAATCTCAAAGCTATATTGTGCTCCGTACTTCGCAGTCCTGCTGTTACAGCCTGGTTGGATGGACCTGGCGCGTACTCAAACCAGCGTACTAGTACCTACCTACTAGGTCAGTATACGGTGTTCAACCCGTGGGCAGTCGAGCAGGGGCCTCGTTGGACATTACGACTTCGCTTGCAAGCGTTGGGAGACAGGATCCGGAAGCTCAAACAATGGATACGCAGTCTTGGCCAGGTGTGGCCATGACTTGTCTCAGCCTCGGGTGTGTGTGTACCGCATTGGGCGATTTTCAACCGCGGCAGGGAGAAGGGGGCGGCTTGTCTGAAATTCGGAGTACGGGGTAAGGGGGTTCAATCGATTGGCTCCCTGTTTCGTTTCGCACCGTCGTGCCATGAGAATATTTCTGTAAAAAAAAAAAAAACTGTCTGTATTGCACTGTACGATATTAGAACTGTATGCTATCCTTGGGCTACGTTGCGCGTGGGACAGACCCTCTGGCGTGTGCCTCTTGATAATGGATCTCTGAAAAACTGAATGGCTTGAAAAGACGAAGACGCGAGCGCGACGCCGCTAGCTTGGTCTGACCACGCTCATACCCACAACCCTACTAGCCTACTTAGAGGTACCTTCTGCCTTGTACTATCAATCATATCATTGACGCGGAAGCTGTATATGCGCCTCTCAGATTGAGTGAGTGCCAGGTTTTCCTTCTTCTTCTTTTTCTTCTTCCTCGAATGGCGCTTACGTTGTAAATACATCCTCCCCTATGTTTGATTTTGCTATCTAGGCACAGTAACGTGCGGCCCACCTCCCAGCTCTCTACGGAGTATTCTTGGTTGTGATTAATGATACTACCTTCTTAGGCACCTACCTGGGCACAGATTGGTATGGGGTCAATAGTAGTACCAGACCACTTGTCTTGACAGCAGCAGTTGGCCACTTGGCCCCTAGACATATGCAGCGTGCCACCGCCTCTTTCTTGTACAGAGTATTGTACATACATGAGACCCCGAGACTGGTTGAATGTGATGTGATGTCAACGGCATCAGTCCCAGATGTACCCGCAAATGGCCTTGGACATTGAGACCAGACCAGCCACCTAA